CTGAACGTCGATGAAAATACTCACTCATTCACAAGTGAAGAGAAGTATCTCGAGAAAAAGTTTTATTGAAAAATTCATGACAAGTATTATTAGCTTTTTAAATCAGCCTTTGTCACATGCATATCATGAAGCTTCCCGTAGCTGAAATAATTTTGATTTGATCCAACAGTTTCGGAACAAACGAACAGTCAAATCATTCCTTTTTATAACATTTGTATGTGGTCCTGGAGAGCGATTCTGTAAAGATCCAAACCCGAATTCGAATTCTCTTATGTATCTGAATTCATGTCATTTAGCATAGAAATTCTATTCCTTTGTCATTTCGATTTAGTATAGAAATTCTATTCCTATGTCATGCCGAAACTCATTTCATTTACGCCACGTAACGTTATTACCATTGCTGCTTGCTGAAGTGAATTCTGACACCCGAGTGAATTTTTTACAGAATCGAAGAGCAGACATCTATGAGTTAACAATCATATTTATTATATTTCAGTTTAAGCCTGATTTTTTTATCGAACATAATTTTCCATCATCATTTTTTAAAAGGACCCACTGTCAAAAGTTAATCTGGAAAAGGCTACCATGATTTCGAACATAAATATTAGACAAAACTTGAGTTTTTTTGTTGCCCCACCAGTCATAGCTAAGTTTCAAATAAGTAAAAATCAGTGTAATTCATGCTTGAGCAGATATAAGAAATTGGTAATTGATTATATCTGAAATGAAAGAATAATCAAATACAGAACATTAATATCTCTAAAGTATTTCCACTTTCTATGGACTAGAGAAATGAATATCGAATGAAGCTCTAAACGCTTTGTCATAGAGCGACTGCCATCTCCGTCGACCTCAGCGTTAAACTAATTTAAGAACTAAATTGAACTTGCACTCAACCTAGTTAGTCTGCAAGGTGTCACTTTCCTACACAGAGATCTAAGATACCGACAGCGACAACACATGAGATTGTTGATAGCGCACACAATGCCCGAGAGCCTCCAAACTGAGCGACCATTCTCAGTTGCAATTATGATACTGCAATGGGCTGACATGCTAGACTTCCTTAATTGCGGTCTGTTCATATTTCAAAATTCGCTTTCAACCGTTTGTTCCAAATTCAAATCTCTCATCGCACCGTTAAGAAATCGCGGATCGTTTGAAATATTGAAAATAGAACCAAGTGCCGTGTATTGAAAAAGTTCCGTAGTGTTGCTGTGTGAATATCCGAACGCATAACGTGATCAAAGTGACCGTTTACAACTTCCGATACAAGAGAGCCCGCGGCGATGCCATGACCGATTTTGTCGATCACACATCGTCGTTCCGCGTCACGGCCTTACATCTACAATTTCCGCTTACGTCTAAATAGAAACGATACATCACTGTTGCTTTCATGTTGGTTTTTTAGACATGGAATTAAGTAAGACCGTGGCTGTAGCATCCACGCGATGCGTGTACGCACGTTATCGAGTCACGAATGGTATACAGTAACGTAGGTACTCGCCAAACAATAATGGGAACCTTTCACCTCGTGTCGTTATGGGAATTGATTTCGTGATGCTTTCATTTAATGTTGGCTGATTGTGTATTGTTTTGATTTGGTACCAACAGGCTACCTTGGCTCGGAAACGTTTGCAGAGTTTTAAATTGATCCATGAGTATTTATGCCATTGGAAGTAATAGCTACATCACCACAGCGTGAAAAACGATATTGTTGGAGTCATTCATTTGACTTTTGACTTGATTTTGTCTCAAATTAAGTATTGTTACATATATTAGATCAATTAACCTCTTTAAACTGATGAGAAATTGCAAAAATCATAAATTAGACAGAGACTGCTCATGACGTAGGTATAGTCCGGAATAAAATATCCAAATTATTTATAATTGATTGCTCGAAAACCAGTTCCAATTGGTAAGTAGAATCCGCTCGTGTTATGGACTGCTACATGGTTCAATATTAAGAGAAAAAATTAATATCATTGAATTTAAGTGGTAAATTGTTATTTTAGCCGACTACGAAAGCGTCGAAGCGACTACGAAGCGAAAAGTAAATTTACGCTGAGACTGCACTTAGTATTAGTCAAAATTCACATTCGTAAACAAAGACTTAGCGAAGATTAACCTAGATTAACCTAACCTAGATTCTACAAGAGTAATATTGATTCCTAGAAAAAAGTAGGTTTGCTTATTCTCTGTATAATAAGCATTTGGAGTAATACTAAAATTGCAATTTTTAGCGAACATTTAGTCTGACTCTAACCTTGTTTATTAATAGCACTGTTTAACTCATCGTGTGACTCGTCAATGTCATGTTATTCGACGACTCAAAATCCAAACTCTAATCATAATGTATTGCATGTAGCCAAATAAGGTTGCTGCAGTCGACCTCGATGGTTAAGGACATATGGATTTGCATTTAGAGAATCAAAATATTGTACAAGCGTGTACATTGGTTCTAAATTCGTGGTTAATATACGTAAATAACACTTGTTCTTTGTAATACTTGGGTACATTTTCATATATTTTTATCACACAGGCATTAAGTGATGGTTTGCCTGATGGGTCTGGGTGTTGTGGTACCTTCGTTGTTAACAGGAGCAATGTGCGTGATGTTGTCTAATATTTATTATTTATAATTATATACACGATAATTATACTTTATTTAAAAGTGCTAATAATACAGTATTTCCCAATTAAAACAGAGTGCCCTTCGCTACGTTTTCTGGCTAAAAGATTCTGATCCACTTTACAAAAAAAAAACACATTGTTAAAGAATTATTCAAAATACCTATATATTTATTGAAACTTAACTTTTTTTATAACTCGCCGACGTGACATATTATTTAAATGAAAATTTAATTACATTAGTATCTAATAAAAAGGTTAGTTATTCTTAAATTCAAATGGAACCGAGGCAGGTAAAAAAGACATAGTAGATATTGCCTAAAACATCAGAAGATAGTACGAAAATGGGTTTTTCATAATTGTGAAATGAAAATTTGTACTCTCGTTTGTGAAATGTAATGTTAACGTTAGGTACGTTTATAACGTTAGTGATGCTAAAGTAGATTGAATAACACCATCCCAAATTGTGACACCTGAGGCGGATATAGGGTTGCCGATTTTTTAAAAAGAATTCTGATTTCAAAGGAGGTACATAAAGAAAACCGACTTACAAAAAAAAATCTATCATTTTTATTTTTTTTTTGGCTCAAAAAGATCCAAACATCTTTTTTGATAATAGGTATGTAACATATATGCGTGATATACATGACGTATCGTAAATATAGTGTCAAAATAGTATTTTAGCGCCCTCTATTAGTGTTATAGAATATAGAGTACCCCTATATGATATAGCTTACAATACTCTATTTTTGGGTACTCTTGACAATCCTTATTTTAACGCAGGGCAAAGGCAACTTTAAGCCTTAAACCAGGGTTCTTACCCACCTGCCTACCTAACTGGTAAAACCCGCTGCAAGTACCCCCCAGGGGAGGGGGAGGGCCCGGGATCCGGCAGGGAACCCGCCGGGTCCAGCCCCACTACACTTGACAACCCTAGATGGACCTACCTTTCCATTTCTCCTTAGCCTAACACTCGTATCTATAGTCGAGAAAAGTAATTGCTTGAGAATATATAACATAAGCAGATATTTTACCAAAGAAGCTTATTTATTTATAAACAGTTCTTACTTTATTCAAATTCTTGTCTATTAGTTAATAATATTTGCTTAAATTATAAAATTTTCTCAAGCAATAACTTATCTCGACTACACTACGACTTTGAAAAATATCAATTAAAACCTAAGTAGTTAGATTTTTCAGCGTATAACAAAGGCTATAAGTATTGCTATAACTTATTAATATTGATAAAGAAACGGTATCATAAAGCTCGCTGATTGATAACTTATAATTCTTCCTGGAAAACTGGTCTTGTAACAAATAACAGCTTACTTAAGTAAAATCGTTTTTCAATTTTTATTTACCGGTAAAGTAATATAATAACGCGAGGGGACAAATGAGTCTGGTAAATGAATTTGAGACATGAGTGGATATAAAAGGGAACGTATTTCAAGAGCATTTTCAATCGGAACATGGCTGCTGGAACTGAGATTCGTATTTCTATAGTATTACATATATGAAAAGGAAAGATTAATATTTTTTTTCTTAAAATGGATAATAGTTTTTATTTCAAAACTTTTAATAAAAGTTTTTATTTAATGTTTTTTTGTGGTATTAATATTATTTATATAATAGGTATCACTAAATTTTAAATATCTTTGTAACTAAAAATATTTGACATAGTGAAAGTCTCAGAATAGGAGATTTTGTGTATTTGCTCGACATAATTTTTTTCTAATAATCTATATTCATATTTTAAAAAGGAAAGATTTGATTGCTTGTTTGTTTGATAGAAATTGGTTCACAATTCAAGAAGAATTCAATGAACATACCTAGCCCTATATATATATACTTCACTAATTTTTACCGACTATGTGTGACTTTCATAAAAAAATATATAACAAAGAGTGAAGTTATATATACTCGTTGGACACAGAAAATCTTCTTTTCAGATTTTGAATGAATTTTAAATAGGCAATCTTTTATGTTTTAGCTGAAATGGGAAATGTCACAACAAATCATCTTAATATTTAGGTGATATCTGTTGTAAAGCGTATTTTGTTTTGTTATAAAATGAAAACTACTTATACGAATTCGATCAAATTCAAATGGGACCGCCTTGATCCATCATACTGTCCAATGCTGTCGAATAAAAAAAAAGAATTTTGAAAATCGGTCAAAAATCGACGAAAATATCGGTGAATAAACATTAAAAAAAAACATATACAACCTCCTCCTTTTCGACTTCGAAGTCGGATGAAAAAACAAAACTTATTATTTAATACTAAGCTACAGAACCACATATTTGTTTCACCTTTCAATTAATCTTGTCATTTCCCATATATACATTTATTAGTGTTTAAAGATATTTAAGTATGAATAGGATTCACACTAGAATACAGAAATCAATAGATTATATTTTACAAGGTAAATTCACTAGAACCAACTACTTTACAGTTCGCTTGAGTTCGCAATAAAATAAAGTTTAAATTATTATTATTGTTCTTTTACTACTTAGCTACATGCTTGTAAATTCTTTAAAATATGTGAAAGGTCGTAAACTAAAATAGATAAATACATGTTTAGGATTTTGAAAATACCTATAAACATGTAGTTCGCAGTTATGTAGGCAAAAAATAGAGCGCGTTTAAGTTTTCTTTAAATAATTTTAATTACTCATAACAGAAAGAAAATTAATTACTCTGAAAGCTAATTAATAATAAGTAATGTTTTATAAGCCCAACGCGGTTTAAAAATATAACTATATCTTCAACACAAAAACATTTAATAATATTAGTAGCTATTTTTATAATCAGATTTTTTTAATAAACTTTTTTTTTTAAAATTAAAACTGCTTTCACTGAATTAAAATAAAGTATAAGAATTCCTCAGTTTTGTATAACCTCGAGTGCTGTTGATTGTACATTACTTATATCCGTTTTCGCATAAAATTTGGCATTGAATTTAATTTGTAAGCGATGTGTAGGTGTCTCTAAATTTTGCCAAGTGACCTTATTTCTCGCGACAAATTGGAAAAAAATAAGGATATTACCCATTATATATTAAGTAGTTAAAACAGATACATAGTATACACATACTATAAAATACTAATACTTAAACATTGATGAAAATACGCTCTGTTACTACAAAAACGCGAAAAAGTAAGTGCTTGAATAATTCGTCAGTCCTGTTCGGTCGTGGGTAGCTGGGTAGCAGAGGTTAGAGTCGACCGGATTGCGAAAGATCATGAGTTCGAGTCCCTTTTCAGAGGGACAAAGTGGATTTTTTAAGCATTTATCAGAAAGAAGAATTAGTAACTTAACTCTAACTTAACTAATCTGAAAAAATATCCAACGGAAATGTTCTACCAAATCCCGTGGGACTAAACTTAAAAATATGCAAAACGATACACCTCAGAATTATTCGGGAGACAGATAACGTTATAATAAAAAAAAAATTAAGGTGCACAGACGTAATTTATTGGAGTATACCACTTATAACGTGTGTACGTGTGCACAGAACTCTTATTTTCGCATTTTACAATATTGCTTTTATTTTCTTTTTTTTTAGTTTTTTTTTTTTTTAATAGAACTCCAGTACGGCGCGCTGCTGGAGGGGTGCGGGGGAGAGTTGCCATCGCTAAGCGCGTGCGCACCCCTCCCCCCGCACCTCGATAAAGCAACGCGACGGCAACAGAAGGACGCACGGGCGCAGCAAGACAAAATCGCACAAGTTAACATTCATTTGCATGGTACCTTTCATTTTTTTTCTTTTTTTTCAAGTCTGATTATTATTTTTTTTAAGTTATTGCCTAGGTTTTTTTGGCATAATATCCCTAGTATAAGGTATCCCATTATTTAGGTAAACGTTCAACTATAAAATAATAAAACATTAAAAATTTTGTGACTGTACATTAAATATTTTTCCTAAAATTTGTTTTAAAGCGATACCAATAATAGAATACAGCACAAAGATTTTTTAAATTTTCGTTTGTCTGTTAATGCGCTAATCTCTGAATCTATTAAACGGATTTTAATAATTCGCTATATATGTCGATGAGCATATTTTGCTCGGTGGCGTAGTGGATAAGCGCCGCGGCCCGCGATCGTTGTTGTTAAGCAACTTTCGCAAGGGTCGGTCACGGGATGGGTGACCAAAAATTTCTCTCGAGCTACTCCGTGCTTCGGAAGGCACGTTAAGCCGTTGGTCCCGGCTGCATTTGCAGTCGTTAATACCCTCCAATCCGCATTGGGCCAGCGTGGAGGGTCATGGCCCATCCTCCTTAACCATCCATAAGAAAGGCCTTAGACCCTGTAGTGGGGACGTAAAAGGGCTGATGATGATGATATTTTGCTACTTAAACGCCAATAGCTTATAAGTTTTCACACATCTCACTTTGCTGCTTTATGTAGAGCGTATAGAGTTTATCCCAATAACGGAGAGTGTTAGTTTTTGCGCCTGTTGCTCAACAAGGGTTACAAGTCTCTTCTCAGTAAATTCTTGTCAAGCTTTTCCCGTAATAAATAAAGCAACAAAAGCAAATGAAATTAATGCTTCATTGAAGAATTCATCCTCCTGGCCACGTTTACAATATTTAGACTTACTATCAATTTTAAGGTCTTACTTGGCGATATTCTGCTAGCTATTAATGCAATTTTCGAAACAGAGTTAGATTAATACAGACTATACTACTTATCCCCAACCATTTTTCGTTTGAATTCAAACGCACCCAGTTGCCTGTGGCTACTTGCTTTGCCATGGCTATAAATAAGTCATAGGGGCAGATTGAATATCTGCCCCTATGACTTAGGGGCAGATACTCAATCTCAAAGTGTTGGGGTGGATTTCAAGACTAGTTGTTTACTGAAAAACAACCAATGTTGTGTAATTTTTTTCGATTAGCTATTTCATGAATCTCACGGGGACCAGCTAGTTATAAATAAAATAACCGTTTTTAAGGACAATACATACTCCACACAATTGATTTCCTCAGGGTGCATATTATTCCAACATGTATGCTGTCTGCATGCACAAATAGAAATAATAATATAAAGTTGGTAAATTTATATACATATTAGACAAATTACCCTTAAAAAATAACTTGTGTAAGTGAAAACCCTACGAACTTAATATTCGTGATATTATTATTCTTATTCATAGTCATGATTAATTTATTTTCTATTTGATCATTTATGTAATTTTAATAACAACTCTGTAACCCAGACATTTATTAATGATATTATTGTGATGATTAAAAATAAATTCATAAATATTATAGTTTATATGTGTACTGTAAAAGCATTAATGGAGACTTTACTGATTAATGTGCTATGTTTTATTTGTATTTATAATTAATGTTATTTCTGTCCCAAAGTCGATAGTCGGTTTTCTATTAAACTTGACCGGTTATAAATTTACATTAGGCAATATTAAAACAACAAAAACAATTTAAAAAATCCATCCACAAAAAAGTTATAAAATTACTCAAACTGACAAAATAGGTTAATCTTGGAACTAAATGTTTGTCCAATATTTTTAACGTTTGTCCAAATTCACTAATAGCAATTAGACGTATAAGGTAATTTTGTCTAGTCTTTTTATGGAATCTTCAGTTGAGTTAGGATGTGATTAACTATTGAAGGTTCATGTAATATTTTATTTTATTCGGCTATTCTTGTACTCTTATTAGAGCTGGTGAGTTTCTTGCTCGTTCTTCTTATCAGCCAAAAGACGTCCTGAACGAGTGGTAGGGAAAAAATGTTGGACGATTCAAAAGTACTGTTAAGAAGTCTATTTAAATAAAGATTATTTTGACTCCATACCCATGCATGATACATAATTTGTAGCTATCTAAATCGGATGTTTGCTCCAAGTGCAAGGCTGTATAAAGTTTCTTAAAACCATTATTTCTTGTTTCAGCTCTATTTGCCGCGGTCGAACATGGATATTTGGATAAAGCAAGAAACATATTGGAGTCTACAGATGTGGATGTTAATAGGTAAATAAGATTAATAATAATCTGATAGGTGAACATTAAGATTTACCTGACAGTTTACCTAAAACCGTCAGATTAGCTTTAATAACATGACTGTACCCAATTAAGTAATTTTACGATAGCAATCCATTTGTGGTTGGGTCTTCTTGAGAATTTACACTATAATTTTAATATTATTGATTTAGATACATATTATTGATAATCTAATTACAGGTTTCAATACAAACGAATCATTTGAAATAACGTTGTGCTTGAAAAAATAAATAATAATGTGAGCTTGTAATATAATATGTGAGAATATATTTACATTCGCCAAATTAAATAAAACTTGCTTAGTGACACAATATTAACATCATAACATCGGCATCTGTTGTTGACATAAGACACAATATGAAAAATATATTCTTAGAATATTGAAACGACGATGTTTTTGTGAAATTTACTGTCAGTTCAAAGGTAGATTAGGTATAATGTGATGTTTTTCTTAATGTGTTCTGTGAACAATTCTCTGATTGTATAGTTGGCGTTATGTTTATAATTGTAAAAATAATTATTGCAGAAATTATAAATAACATTTATATTTTACGCAAGAACGCGATTATTTGAACTGTGACGTAATAGTTCAAACTGATAGCCAAAAACAGCCAACTAAGCATTTTGAATCGTTTAAAATCGAACCAATTTCGTATATTTAAAGTAATGTCTTTAAGTTAAATTTATATTTACATTATTATATTTTGATTAATTTTGCATTCACAATACTGAAAATAAATTTTAACACAAAATGCTTAAAAAATCCACTTGGTCCCTGGCACCCTGAGATGGGAATCGAATCAATCCGGGCGACTGCTCTAACCGCTGAGCTACCCAGGGCCTAACAGGACTGACGAATCTTTCAAGCACTTGTTTCTTTTCGCTACTAAAGAGCGTATTCTCATCAATGTTCAGGCATCCACCCAAACAGCCGAAAGAAATATTGTTAAAAATATTGAAACTTTCGATAAAGATGAGAATTTTGTTCTAATTATTATATTTTGTTTAATTTTGCATTCACAATGGCATACTGAAACTTATTCTCAATACAAAATGCTTAAAAAAACCTCTTGGTCCTGGCACCATGGGAATGGATGGGTAGCTGAGTGGTTAGAGCAGTCGCCCGGATTGCGACAGGTCGTGGGTTCGATTCCCATATCAGGGTGCCAGGGACCAAGTGGATTTTTTAAGCATTTTGTATTAAAATTGTATTCACGTGTTTTAAAATGTAACGTTAACATTTTTTTAAGGTAGTAAATAATAGTAGGTAGTAAATAACTACTGTATACCAAATACGATTTCATTAAATAATATGGTTTGATAACGTACTTTTAGGTATAGGCACTTAAATTGAAAAATCCCTATAGCAAGGAAAAAAGATGAATGCTTGACCTGTTATCGGGGATCTAATCCTCAATCCTATATTGTGTAACACAATAGCCCTCCGCTTTTTACGACATAAGATAAAAAAAAATATCTATGTATAATCGGATGAATGGAAATTGTATACAAAAGAAATATTATTTTACTTTAAAAGCACTTTTGTGAATATTAGAATTGTTATGTCAAATAATAGATATCGCGGTGAGCAGTCTCATGGTGAATTGCACAAACGTCCATTAGGGTTTAATGAAACCTTTATACTTTAATGCATGTCAAATTTGTATCGGTAATGTCGCTTTTAACCAATGACAATTTTAATGGACGTTCGTGCAACTGGCAGTATGTCGCATGAAGATATTTAATTAAATAAAACAAATGAATAAAGTAAAACGGGGCATCGGTTCAAGAATTAATACGATCCGCAAACCTTTTTAATATTATTTCAATTGAAATAATATATTAAACTTAATTCTGTTTTAAAGTTAAAATTTTGAAACAAAAGTTTTCTTGATATTATTACTATAGGTACTAGCTGTTACATGCGACTTCGCCCGAGTAAATAATGACATATGTCACCCGCTTATGTTATAGCTTTCTGTAGGTGTTTTTTTTTTTTTAGATCAGTCTAGTAGTTTCGGTGTCTAGTCGATGCAAATAAACAAACAATCATATATTTCCTCTTTATAATATTAGTATAGATAGACTAACAATATCTATATAACTCTACAAAGTCAGTATCTTCTATAACATATTGATAACTCCATTCCAAAATTCTATGCCTTATTTTCATACTAATCTATAAAAAATTAAAAAGGTATTAATGATTTGCTAACAATAAATATATCGATTATTCCGAAGCTGACCCGAAAACCTAACAGTTAGGTTAGGAACTTGAAATAAACCGTTGACAGACTTAACGTATTGTTCCTAACCCGAATGGCAACATAGGTATAAGCATACGCTAACACAAGGAAATAGATAAAATTATTACAATTCAGTAAAGCGATTGTCGGCCTCAAAGAAAGCTTCCTTGAGCCGCTGAGGAACCGCAAGCCCGTGAGTCGAGAATTTATGAGTGAGAATCCAAGATAATACCACAGACCAATGCGAATCAACTTGGTTTATTATTGCTAATAGAACTCACTGGTATTTGAGTTAATACATTTTCGAAGGCAAGTAAATTAAGAGTTTTTTTATTCATTCATGATTTTTAGAAACAATTGAATCGATCTTTGTCTTCTAGTTCGGTAGTTAATCGTCAATTTTTTTCACTTATTAATTTATTGTTTCAGCCTCAACACAGATGGTTTGTCACCCCTGGATGTTGCAGTACTCTCCAACAATCGACCTTTGGCAAAAATGCTTATGGAGTTTGGCGCTAAAGAAGGCACACAATGTAAGTGACTTATAATTATTATTACTAAAGGCGCCGTTATTTGGTAACGCAATTGAAAGGTACCTCAAGCCTTAAACCAGAGCCGTCCAACCACCCTGTCTTGAGAAGGACAAGTTAAAGCGTGGTTGACCTAACTGGTAAAACCGGCTGCAGAATACTCCCGATGGGGAATAGGATCCAGAAAGTTACAAGGAGCCCGCCAGATCAATTACTTAATCCGCAAATAATCAATTACTATAAAAATTTGAAATTAAACCAGAATTTTAGGGGTAATTCTTGAACATTTTCTGTCAAGATTTTTTTTTATTCACATTTTAGTTGTGTCGAAACACTAAAAAATATAATGTAATTTTATAAATAGAATCAGTTGAAGGTTTGTGATTTTAGTTTAGTTATATCGTACATAGAGAGTCTCGCATTATACGAAATGACGTGACTAGAAAAAAAATGTGATTGAATACGACTTTCATGTTCAATTATGATCATTCAACATAGATATTCATCTTAACAATGAACTATTTCGATAAGATAACGGGTATTTTTCCTCTTCTCATATCTTACGAACGACAATGACATAAATTAAGATTTGTTTATGAATCAGTTACCAAATTCTGCGATAATCTTAAAGTAATTTTGTTTGGAATGTATTCGGTCCGAGTTTGGTGAACCCTACAACATTAAATATAATAATGAATGTTGAAACCTCATAGTATTTTTAGAACTCTAGGTTAGCCAATCCCAGCGCTATAATAGGTGGACCTAGGGGCCAATTCTACGAAATAAATTTTGTTTAAATTGAATCGAAAACGGATCGAAACCGAACGAATCTACAGTTTTTAATGGTTTTCCTATTTTACAAAGTGACATACGATACAATTACAGTTCTCTTTTAGCTTGAATTGTTTCGTATGTCACTTAGTAGAATAGAAAAACCATTAAAAACTGTAGTTTCGTTCGGTTTCGATCCGTTTTCGATTCGATTTAAACAAAATTTATTTAGTAGAAATGGCCCCCTGTGCCGGATATCCACTACTTATTTCATAGTATATTGAACAAAAACAAATATTAAAGCAAAATCATATACAATCCCCAGATCCATAAATTAAACTAAAACACTTGTGCTATGGTAATCTGAGGCAATGAAGGTAACACAACATCCAGAGGCAAGAAAATATAGAAAAAATATATATTTTCTATGTAAAAATACAAAATATTTTCGAACCAGAATCTAACCCAGGACCTCAGAGATGACGACGACACCTTGAAACTGGGCAAGTGCTCGACCATTGACTTTCTTAAATATACATGAATGTTAAAATGTCTATACGATTATTTTAAAGCTATCGAGCGTGTCATTTTGTTAAGACACTTGCATTGCTAGTGAAGTGACACGTGCATTTGATTTCAGCAGGCTCAAACACAGAGATCGTGCACATAATGTTTCGTCCTCGCTATTGTTAGCACGACAAACGTGAACCAGAGGAATAAGTACCCAACAGTAAAACAAAAACCCGAATATCACTTATTTCGTTGCAAAAAGCTCAGAGGCAATTTTCCAATTAATTTTTAATTTTTTCATTAAAAACGAAAAGGAATAACGGAACCTTTACAGGAGCATAGTTATCACGTTGTCAAAACGGAGGACCTACTCTGTTTATACAAAAGCGAAATTCCTGAAAACGTACAGATTATCGTACAGATATGACGCTTCAGAGGAAAAGTGTAATCCTAATCCTGTTGCATCTTAAAATATCCAAAATTAGTTGTTTGTGAAGTCACATTCGAAATTTAATTTTCGGAGATACAAAGACCCCTGATATTCTCCGAAACTACTAGACCAATTGAATTGAAATTTCATGTATATAATGTATATCGATGAGCCAAAGGCAGTCGTGCAACATAAGTTAATGAATTTTAAAGGCCTCTTATTATTATAGGGGCTATAATTTAAATTCAACGATGATAAAAAGTTTCGTATACTACGTTAGGTGAAACATCGAATAAAAGATCTTATTATGATGATGATGATGATGATGATGATTATGAGAATCACAAATACATTTGTTATAATTTCAATATAAATGGTAATGAAGTTGTTTAAGGAAATTAGGCGAAAATTAATTTTCAAAACTACTGAGTCTTAAATCCTAATAAAAATACAGAATTTCTTAATAGATAAGTTACAGGAAAACCTATTAGAAGTCTTATCAGCTAATTGCACAAACTTCTATTAAAATATACATTTGTTTAAAGCGACATTATCCATACCAATTCGACATTGATTAAGCTTAAAGGCGTCATTAAACCCTAATGGTCGTTTATGCAAATCACCGTATGGATTTTGTAATTTTTTCTTTGTTGTAAGTTATCACCACAATCTAAAATTTATATAATATATTTAGGTATTATTTCAAAGTAATTCTCTTTTGCGTTTTCTTCAAATAAGTATTTTCAGAAACCAAGTTCTATTAAAATATTCATAATACCCAAACTTTGTCACGTTTTTCACAGGTTTCATACAAAATAGGCTGTTTATCACACTCATGTCCCGTCTACCCCTCTAAGTACCAGACATAATTTATAACTAGTTGAAATACGCGCCTACCTGACATTTTTACGAGTATACATAGGTGATAACCGAGTGGCATATTTCAGTAAGGTAAAGTCTCAAAATAAGTACATCATTTTTGACCTTACACTTGCTTTACAACCGTTCTCATATAATAAATGTAGCTCTTAGAATTACGCATACAAGTTCGGTTGCACGTATTCACAGGGCATTGCAGCGGCGCGCTCGCTTCGCTCGCTCGAATTGCTCTTTTATTTAATTTTATACATTAAAATAAAATATATTGATCTAATTAAATTAGATCAGATTTATTGATGTAATTATATACTATATAATTAGATTAATCAATTTGTGAGTTTATCAAATTAAGACAGATTGGTAGACGCAATACGGAGATTTTGTGTCGTAATATATAAAGATTTATACTCATCTATATAATTTATTAGATAACGGTATTGTGATCAGATAATGATCTCCTAATAAAGCTTACACTATCTGCTCATGAATCACATCAACCTACTCATTGTTTCGAACTCGATTTCCCTTATCGGTATAATTTGACAGTAACGAATCGATCAAAAAAATGAATGAAACACCCAGAGACTTCGATATTTATCTCTCTAGAAACTAACACAATGTTTATGTTTAAAAACACTTCGTTGGGTACGTGACTTACATTATCAGAATAGTATTGACATTATCGAAACGATCACAACTGAATTTGAAAAATACTGATGCTAAACATAAAGAAATATGTTAAGGTAAAATTTACATAAAATCTTAAACTTTTTCTTATCATTAGCAGAATTTATATTCTACCTACCGTAGAGAGAGATCGCTGACAATTTGAGATAGCTCAATATAAAGTAAGTTAAATCCACATAATATAAAACAATATATTACCTTATTGAAGTTTACTAACATTTCATACTTTAGGAAATAATTGATGAATTAGTCAACAATGCTTATATCAACAATATATTTCAATTGAATGCGGTTCATCGCTAAACGCTTTACTTGACAATATAATCACTACTGTACATTCATGGGTTTATTAATGTCCCTATTAATAGGGCATGGGCCTTCCCCATGATGAAAAACGTGGAATGAACGAGCTATGATCTAACACAATATGTGAATCCAATAGTAATTTTGAAACAAATTTTCGCTATACGATCAACTTTATCGTGATCGGTACTATATGGCATTCAAATTACCATAGAGCAGAACAGATTATAATACCGAATGAAGATTTTTTTACAGACAGGACAAGGATAAAAGAATTTGTATTTGTTTTATTTAAATGTGGAGCCGGTAACATTTGTCAGCTGTTCACCGAAAAGACCTTTAATAAAATTTGAATTCGAGCTGAACACAAATGGAGAATATCATATGGTACATCCCTAGAGTGTTAACTTCCCAACTATCGATTTATTGGCAACGAACTAAGAAGAAACTCTGTAATCAGTTTACATCCTTTGCAAGCAACTTTGCGAACTTTCCTGAATTAATTCGCCACGCAAAGATAAACAAAATATCATAATTTATTTTATCTCGAGATCAATATCAATAAAAGCTACAGCAAAATGTAGTTAAATAATGTATGATTTGACTTTGATATCCTTCGTTTCTTGAATCTAAAGCTAATAATAAAAAGAAAGAGATATCTTACTCTATAAAATATAACTTATGATAAACCCGCATTTTAAGCGAGATGATATCTTTGTTTTCTATGATTCGTAATGTACGAGTAATTTCTACAGAACGTAATTTTAGTATCATTCATTATTTGGTTATAATGTATTTCTTTAAAGAGTAAAACACTGGAAATTCGTAATCAAAATATGCTTAACATATTTAGATTAATTTATCTATAACAATTATATTAATTAAATTCAACTAATCGATATATATTTTAGTATGTAAATCAACGCCTTTGTAAATCAACTGAGCAAAATCCTAATATACATTTTCAACTTAATTACAGTTTGGGTAAACAAATAAATAACTGACAATCTATTTATTATTATTGTATGCCTGTATATGTAATACGCTATCAAATATTGTAATTGAAATTATTAACCCTGAACTAACATCAATACTGTTTATGAAGCGTGTTTGTATAAACAAAGAGCTTCTCAATCACAGCTAAACAGTTTTGGTATAGGCATGATCTTATGTTGTGAGATTATATAAATCTTATTACGATAAATAAAATTATTACTCCCTAAAGCGATAAGTGCTTAAATCTCACGGAGTTCTGCAAGGATCAAACTTTTGACCACTTTAATACTCAAAATTAATATTAAATAATAATCTTTAGTTTAACGACAACAAAATCTAATATGTTCTTTTAAGCTTTCATTGTCATTTACACTATAATGATAGATTTTTGCGTGATTGCTACCATGTACCTTATTTTGTTGAGTCCACGATATTTTGACTCTGTTGCAAGCGCCGTGGTCATGGAATAACTTCGTTATACGTCAGGTACACGGTAGCAATCCCGCGAAAAACTATCATTCTAAGAAAATCTAATTTTCTTGATGAATTAATCTTATAAAGTTTATTGCTTTTTACACTATAGAGCGAAAGTCACATGAATCAAATAAAAAAAATTACTTTATTTAACATTAACTAAACAAAACTTTTCATTGTACATATTAGACATTTAACAAGACTTGTTTTATAATGATTCTAAATTTTTTTTTTTATATTATTTTGTAGATAAGAACAGACAAATATTTTATCACCAATGTAATATTAAGAGCAGTCGCCCGGATTGCGAAAGGTCGTGGGTTCGATTCCCATTTCAGGGTGCCAGGGACCGAGGGGATTTTTTAAGCATTTTGTATTAAGAATGTTATATTAACTTCATCATCATCTTTTTTATTGTAGGGTTTTTTAAGCCTCACCGCCTGGTGAGTGACGAGGTAATGTGGGACCTCCTCTGTAGGTCCAGCTGGTATTCGCTCAATGGACCCACAGAGGCGTACTCACTAAAACTACAGTGTTTATAGTTCGAAATATCAGCTTCTGGTATCAATACCGAATACTCATGTAGTATCGTAGGACATGATATCGACACTAAAAGTATCGCTCCCAAAGTATCGATACTACTCAGTATCGACTATTTACCGAAATCATTTAATGAGGGAGTATTTAAAAAAAAAACATTAGTTCCCGAAATCAAACTAGATGTCGCTACGGTACGTTCTTGATTTCTCCATGACAACCTTTCCGGTTTTCTTTCTAGTTTAAAAGTAAATTAGTTTTCAAAACTCAATAAACAACTCGTATTTTTATTTGTACTTTTTCCTATTTGTATTGATATATAAGTTTCGAACTTTTCAAATTTCATTTCATTTTATGTTAGTTAAATGGTACGGAAATGATTGTCTTTGGTCCATTCGTTTCCTGCAAAAATCAACTTTCGATAGAGTCGCCATCTAGTGGAGGTGCTTTTTAAGTGTTCTCGTTTTTTTTTAAATACTTCCTCATTGAAATTGCTTCAATTTGCTTCAAGAAAAAAAAGTTATATAAGGCAACCATAGTGTTTCTGTTTAAATTTTCTTTGAATGCAACGATGGGACAATCGAGGGACGACAGTAAATAAGCCATTAAACAAATATTTCTAAAAAAATAATGCATTGTTTATTTTAAATTAAGTCAAAATTTAAGCTTTCTTTATACCCGCGAAAACGCTGTCCACCATACTCATGACGTCATTCGGATATGGTACACAAAACAGCTGCACATCGTAGTAGACTTTAATTTTAAGATAATCATGCGATTTTATGATTTGAAATCAAAATCTCAATGAAATGTTAATTAATGTGCAATTTCGTGACTTATTTTTCATTACTAAAACTACCCAATTCAGTCATTGAAGCCAAATGCCAACTGGAAGTAAGCTGTATCAAACAATACTCCATACCGGCAATTTTTATGATTCTTTCGAATACTTACCGTGCTGTAGTATCGAGTACTCAGTATTAAGTGTAGCAATTGAAAGTATCAATACCTACTCGGTATGGAAAGTATCAATCGAACCCTAACAATGTACTCTCACGTGGGAAATGAGACTCGGGAAGCCGTAGCCGAGTCACTGGGACTTATCATCATCGACCTTATGATAATATAATATACATTTAAGAACTGGGAAAAGGTGTCAACTAAGAATATGGATAACTTTAATAACTCTTACAAGCTTGTTAAATATTTTTATGTATTTAACTTAACTGATTTCCTGACATCTTAAATGATATGTAATAGATTGACATAGATACTGCCATATTAGTATACTTCAGTTACTTTCATAGTGTAATGTCGTACGGAATCCTGTTGTGGGGAAATGCTGCTGACATACAAACAATTTTTGTGCTTCAGAAAAGAGTAATTCGATCAATTTATAATCTTAGAATTAGGGACTCTTTAAGGGAGAAATTTTAGGAAATAGACATTATGACTGTTGCTTCTCAATACATATACTAGAACTTAATGTACGTTCGTAAAAATATTAGTTTGTTTTCTATAAAAAGTGATGTACACAATTTTAATGCAAGAAATAAAAATAAATTAACGGTCCCTGTAACTAGACTGCAAAAAGTTAATAACTCATTCAAGGGTCTTTGTGTGCGCTTCTACAATAAAGTCTCAAGCAAAATACAACAATTAGATATCATGCAGTTTAAATCTACTATTAAAAAAATACTTATTAAAAAAGCTTATTATAAGGTATCCGATTATATAACAGATAAGAACGCTTGGACTTGAGATGATCCAGCAACTGGATAGGTGATTACTTCTAAACTCATTATCTTGTTTCCATTATTATTAAATGATTATGTAATCATTATAAGACCAAAGTTTCTTTTTTTTTCTCTTTATTTATAATGTATGGATCTGGTGATGACATGACTTTTGTAAATGTCATTACTCCTATTAGAGCTGGTGAGTTTCTTGCTCGTTCTTCTTATCAGCCAAAAGACGTCCTGAACGAGTGGTAGGGAAAAAAATGTTGGACGATTCAAAAGTACTTTTAAGAAGTCTATTTGAATAAAAATTATTTTGACTTTTTTTTTTACTCAGAAAAGTACATTTTCTTTGTATAATATAAGTTTAGATTAGTTGTAGTGTATATTGGGAGATACTTAATCGGATCTGAAATGTCTATGAAAATGTCAAACGACCGCCATGAGAGCAATTCATATGTCACACCATTACCCGAGCACAAGCAGTTACGTGAACGGCTTAAGATAGGAACCCTGAATACATTGGGGAAAAGATGAGAATATAGAAAGATTTAACAATAATATTGATAGCTAAGTACTTGGAACAAATAAAAAACAAATTGTATTTCACATTACAATTGATTTCAAGATTCAGTATGATAATCTTCGATCCGAAACTTTACCGAGTATATTTGACAACAATCGTTATAAAATATAAGGTGTATGCCAATTTTTAGAGCCCTATAACGCAGTGGTTAGTGCGTGACCGAAATTTTATTACCTCGAGCTCCTCCGTTCTTTTGAAGGCACGTTAAGCTTTTGTTCCCGGCTGCATTTGCAGTCGTTAATATCAATATCCACCAATCCGCACTAGGAACCGCTTAATAGGGTCATGGCCCATTCGATTTAATCCACAAGGAAAGCCTGACCCCCTTCAGTGGAGTCATTAATAAGCTGCTGATGGTACCATATTTTAAATGATTTCTGCCGTTCCGGTGTAATTACCTTACAATCCAGATTTTGTCAACTTACTTTTTATTGTAGTTTTAAAGATATCAAAATCATCCACACCTTTTTTGTTTCAGTCAAAATTTCTGAAGCATTGGGGGCTCATTTACGTCGGCTAGTGCGTGATGCAGAGTCGAGACTGCACGAGGTAGTTGGCTGTGCACCTGAAAGATCTTGCCGGGACGATGCATGTACCAGGTAAACAGAAAATGAGACATATACATATACTTCACTAAAGCATGGAAGTAATAATGCTAAAAATAATTTAAAAATTAAAAAACTACTGTCTTTACACGGCTGTCCAAAAAGGTGTATAGTTAAATAATTTATTTTTATTTTATTCCTTTTATTATTCTCTCTCTTTTCGAAGTTAACGTTAAGATGACTGGCTCACGTACTTTAGAATAGCATTTCCGCATCACAACGCGTTGAGGTTGAATAGTAATAATAATATCCATAATACTGATTTCGCTATGTGGATATTTGACTGTGGCCACAACGCGTTGAGAACTATTCTTTCGATTTCGATCTTTGAGCGTAACATATATACCCATACCAATTGACATTTGAATTTATTTACAATTTATTTCAATCCCAAATTATCCAAGCTTACAAAGCAGGAATCCTGAAGCCACGATCTCTAAGTATAACAAAAATGAAATTCTTATCATTGTTATTAATATTACAAAGGAGATACTTAAGAAAATATTCAAAATATTTATGTAAGCAAAGTTAAATGAAACAAAAGCATTCGGTGCCTGCCATTAATTGATCTTTTGATTTCTTTAATAAATTATGAGTCTGTTGATTAATTAAATAAGTCAAAAATTTTCGTATATTTACGGGAATAATAGGGCAAGTACAACAATATCACATTTCAAAAATTTTAACTGCTTCCCACTGTCAATCTTGGATTTCGTCTAAACGTTAATCTTCTAAATTGGGCCTTAGAGTGAAAACTAACATTAGTAGAAAACAAGCAAATGACAAGCATGCGTCGCTCAAGTTGTGGTAGCAGGGTATCGCCTTTTTTCGTCAACCTATTCTATTCTCTCATTCAGAAACGCCATTTGCTAGAGCGAGAAAGATAGCGATTGTGCGTTAGCACACGCCATGCCGTCACTTCAATGTCTTCCTGCTAATACTATCACGGACTCATTAAACCGTTAATCTGTTCGTTAATGCCCACCAACGCACTGGGCCCGCGCGATTATTCTTAGCCTATTCATCTTATTCTATTTGATCCGATTCCATCCACAATGAAAGCCTGAGCCCCAGCAATGGGGACACTAATAGGCTTATGATGAATAGTTTCTCACTTTGTCTTTTAACCCAGATTTATTCTATATCGGTCGCAATACAAGGTCACCGGCGCTGAGCTTACACATGCAAAATAGTTGTCCTTATGTCACATTGATACATTATTTTTACCCTGAATCCCTTGCTTTCCTCCTTGGATACTTCTATTGCGTACACGACGTTTCTTACATTTTTCATAAATGATTACCAGCTTTTAATACTTCTGACATTACCCTTTTTAAAATAGCCATCTCACGCGTACCGTAAAGTGATATCTAGTGATGGTCATTCAGGTCATCAGCTGGCGGTCCAGCAGCTGCTACTACAGGCTGCGCAGGCGGCGCTGGTTCGGAGAAAGATAAACAAGCACAACACTGGGAAAGAAGAATTCGAACACTCAAGTGAGTCTTATTAACTTTTTTCCGTATATTAATAATTTTAATTTAGCCCTTAATTTCGTATTGCAGAATTAATAAACTTAGTGTTTAATAAATTAATTTATTAATATTTTTTGTTAAACTTTACTTCTTAAACTGAAACAAAGCCTATGTTATTCGCCGATGGTCATATTGATGAAACCGGTTTTAAGAACATGTTAAAAACTGGTGGAGTACTTTTCGAGTATATCCACTATACAAACGAATTAAAAATATATTGTTCTGGGCTACCTAATTTCGTCCATTTTCTTTTATCAAGAATACTGTATATTGATTTGTCAATGACTTTACTCGGTGGAACAGAACGACCGACACTCCCGAGAATCCTGGAGAGTACTATTTGTTTTTAATATGATGTAAAAAAAATTATGTGTCTAGGTCAAATAGTTTCGCAGATATTAAATTACAAAGTTTTTGGAAAAAATGAGTGTTTTCAACCCTGACTCAGCTGTTTTTGGGACGTACTAAGGAACAAGTTTTTAATCGGTCATTGACTTCTTCATTTCTAAAAACGAAATAAACTAGTTTATGATTTATAAGACTGCTTTCATGCAAATTCTACCAGACAATCAACAGACTAACAGCCGGTTTCTGATTTGAAAAAAGTAGAAAATCTCTACTGATTATTCTCAGTAACCTACGTTTTTTTTTTTAATTTCACAAGAGTTTTATCAAACTGCTATCAACTGATCATCAAAAAACTAAAATCGCAAACGAAAACAACTCAGCAACCAGCATACTAATCAGTAATCGAAAAATATCTGTTTTGTTATTTCTGATAATGTAATGGAAAGTGACTTCATAATCTAATAAAGTCACTTTCCAAAAAGACTTCTCAGTGTGAAATAAAGCGGGGAGAAAAAAGTAGCCCTTGCTGAGTTTCTTGCCAGTTCTTCTCAGTACAAGGTCTCGCGCTCGTAGATTTGCGAACCGATGGGATAGTTTCCGACTTTCACAAGTGGTTGTCACAGCCTAGACTGAATAAATGATATTAAATTTAAATTCTAACTTCCAAGTCGCGAAGAGGTTCAACATTACCAAATTAAGATTAACCCGCCAAAGATAGATCAAATGTGCTATACTCGTACACTAAACTTTGAGATTTATATTCTTCTTCAGATAAGTATATATTTTCCAGTATTCCATTATTACAAAATTGATTAAATATTATAATTTCAGATATATTTTTCTTTACTCGCATAAAATATTACGTTTCAAATCTAAACGGTTTTCGAAAACAAGAATCCATGATATTTATTTTAAAGAAAATTCATCAAAAATTTTACCAAACCCAGGCACTCGAGATCGGCTACAGCACAGTGAATGCAAGATTGATCAAATATAAATTTGACCAAAAAATTTGTTTGTTTCATCCAGACGTCTACTCGTCGGATGGCAACAATCGCGGGCTCCCTCCGCCCCTCCTCCGCCGGACTTAGAAGTGTGTGGTGCTCACGCAGTCACTGTCCGTCTGAAGGACCCTAAAGCAACATCCTCTTCGCAACGAGACCCACCAATAGTAACCAAATTTAAAGGTACTTGGTTTTTGTTGACGGTCATTGTTAATTTTGTTTTAGTTGTATTCTAGGAATTGATTCCATGCAGCTTACTTAGGACTTAGGATATGAGATCTTAGGTCTTAAATTTCAAAAAAAATATATAAGAATTCGTACTCTTTATTATAAGAAAAAAAAACAACACATTAAGAAGATAAGGAAAAACCAAAAGGCAGCCATATTGCAACCTATGGGGATTTTTTTTTAACGACAGACGGTGTGGATGCAATGCTTAGAAGTATAAATAGAATATGTTATATCCATTCAAAAAAATCTGAAATAATGGCTTTGAGAGATTTTATTTCTTCTATGCATCATAGAATGAAATATGTTTTCTAACTCTGCTTCTTTTTGATTTGAAGCTACGCGATGAGTGCAATTGCCATGAAGAGTCCTCTTTCATTATTTTATAACGACTTGAGTTATAGTAAAGCATTTTTTGAAAATTTCTAGGTGAATGTCCAATGTTAACCATAAGGAACATGATATACAAAATCTTTTATACTCTTGGCTTTAACTGTTGCTATGTTTGTATTAAAAATCTTGAATTTTGTGTGACGTAATTTATGGACGGCTCTAAAGCACTATCAATTATTACTTATTATCTTAATTGCAAATAATTCGATGTCTTATTCTTATAAAACAATGATTTTACAGTGGAATGGTCTTCAAGAGCTGACTTCTCGAACGTGTGCGGCAGTAGAGAGGTCGCAGTCGTAATATCAAGTAGTGGAACGAGAGTACTTGCGGCCGGTCTCACCAGAGGTAGAAGATACTTCTTCAGGGCGGCCGCTGGAAATATCAAGGGATGGGGGCCGTTCACCGTTTCTGTGCCAAGGAGTGTTGTACCTAGCAGTAAGTGAATTATTGTAGTCAGTCAGTCCTGAATTTAACCTTCTGTCTTACAATTACTTAGGTATCAGATTACTGCTCGATTAAAAAAGGATCTCCTCGATCTACCGAATCTACTCCTTTTTGGGTACACTAGCATAGTGCGCTAGTATACCCAATCAAGAGGACGAAACGGCACAATTGCAATGTCGAGTGATCGCGATTGCGTTCGAGAGTAAGCATGCTGATCTGATTTAGGAAATCGGAATAATGTTTTGATCTTATTCCCGCTTAAAGGTTAGTTATTGGATAAATATGAAGTATTCAGTAATTTCCTATTCTATTTAGTCATTTCCCTTTCATATCTAAAAACATAAACAAACAACTGATCTTTAAAATAAAATAAGTTGGCAATTTATCTGCAATTGGGCAGAGAAACTCCAGTAAATACTATATTCTAACCCATATTTATCGCTCGAGAACTAAATCTGAACCTTTCGTCCTGAAGGTTGGCGTGACGTGTCATCGCGCGCTACGCGTGGTGACTCTGGTGGGGCGGCGGCCGCGCTCGAAGCGCTAGCTAGCGCCGCAGCGGGTGCTAGACAGAGAGCTGTGGCACCACCGCCGCGGCTGCCGCGCAAGAAGACTGCTACCATACGGCAGCTATTCACCGCCGCTAGCAAGTTCCAGAAGAACTTACGAAGGTAGGTTTTGCAGACCTTATTGTTCTTTTGAAGGTAGGTTTTGCAGAATTTGGGCTCTGCACCTGAAAAGGTCAAAAGAAATTCCCATAACTAGTTATATAGTATAGTTTTTTAAATTCAATATTTGTGAGAAAACCCACTGCACGTGAATCTCGCATGTTTCAATGGCCGTATGAAATTGTATTGGCCTAATATTTTATTTTGTTATTCTATTTTCGTTTTGAAGTAAGTGTTGGAATTAAAATTGAATGAAATAAAATATAATAATATAATATTTAACAACATCACATACATTGTTCAGATTCCAAGATGAGTAGCTAAAGCCCCCGTATTATGGAGTATCTGAGACAACGAAGGTACCACAACACCCAGACCCGAATCAATATAGAAAAGTTCATTTTCTACATTGACCCGACCGGGAATCGAACCCAGGACCTCAGAGATGGCGACACCTTGAAACCGGCGTGCGAACCACTCGGCTACGGAGGTCGTACATATGATATTCATTTACAAAGCTATTAATGAGTAATAATTTAAATAAGCAAAGATATTTCATTTGTGTTCATTAACCACAGTAAATTCTACTCATTATATACTAAATTAAATAGAACCTCTTAATAAATAAAGGCGAAATCATGATACTAACAATAAATCACTAAATTGTAGCGTTCGCCATATTGAATTTAAAATGTACTTATAGAAGGCCGTTCCGTATTCTGTGGAAGGCCGTATGAGATTCGTACCAAAACTGTAAAATGTTGAACTCAATCAGGCGAGGTTAATTTATTCAAAATTCAGTTCAATTTAATTAATTACCAGACTTGACAGAAACTTTTGTAAAATATAATTATGAACAAACCTATTCAGCCTCTTTGGTTGATAAAAATCACAAAACAAACTATAACATGTGAATTTTATTATATTTGTTTCTTTAATTTCCTATTTGCATATTCATACACCTTATTATCAACAGGGGCGTATATCTAGCATGCATCTTATACCACGAAGACAAAGTGCTGGTCACCAGTGAAGAGTTCCTGCCCGTCATAGAAGTGGACGAGACCTATCCCACCTGCATCTACACCGATTTCCATTGGCTTATGAAGGTACTTATAAAATAATTTTCAATTATTATTTAAACTTTTCCGCTAGCGGGTTCGCCCTTCTTTTTGAATCATTTAATCTATTTAAAAAAGCCTCATCACAATCCCTTGCGCAGTTTTAAAAATCTAAGCATACATAGGGACGGACAAAGAAAATCGACTTTATTTTATACTATCTATTAATAACCTGATGTAGAGAGTAAAAATCGGAATTTGGCCACTGGCCTCCTTTTGGCCATTCGAAACTTTAAGCCGTTCTAATTAACACATAAATAAAATATATTATTTATTTTATATTCCTTTTATCTAATGATGGCACACCAGCGTGTCCTTCAGTCAGGTGTTCTTTAACACTAGGATTATCTGCAAAAGAGAGCTTTTAGCGATAAGACCACTTCTGCCTATTCTGTAAACTTTTCATTTGTGTATGAGCAATAGTGTTAATATGTTACTTTGCCGTGGTAAAGTCTTTAAAAAGTTTAATTACGGCAAAACTATTAATATCGATATTTTTAATATGTCAAAAGTCATTTTCTCGTTACTTGTAAAATGTCCAAAATCAGATCATAATCTTAAAATTGCAAAAACTGGGTCATTGGTCCCTACGACGTCAGAGTGGAAGGATTTTAAAGCGAAGGAGGTCAATACTCATGTTTCACAAACATGATGTCTGCAGCTACAAAACTTAGTGATCTTGTATTTAAAAAAAAATGCTGAGGAAATTTAAGACATACGTCAGGATTATGTCTTATTATTCTAGCCGGTTCTTCTCAGTACAAGGTATCCCCTCGTAGATTTGCGAACCGATGGCATAGCCTTCGACATTCACAAGTGCTTTGTAACAGCTTAGACTAAATAAATGATATTTAATTTGAATGGTTTACTCATTTATTTATTTAATTCTTTCCATTACAAAAATTACATAATCTTAAGCCCCACAAAACTATATTAACAAAAAATTGCGTTACATATAATGCTACTTGAAGGAATATGTATCTGATTGTTAAGTTAAAGTTATTCATTTTTATATGCTAAGTACTACAATTAGTGTTACAGGCTATCCATTAATAGTTCTTTAGTAAATTGGAAAATATTTTGAGGTTACTTTCACGTCTAATCTATTTAATATATATGGGACTCTTTTGTTTAGAGTTTTATCCCCATAATCATTTTTAACTCTGGGAACTACTTTTGTTTAATTATTTACAATGGGCTCACTCTTGACCTCAATCTAGCCTGCGGACATAGATGAGATCTACTTACCTGGGGACTATCATTCTTGTGTTAAGGTGTCGTGTTCATGGGATGATGTGAAGGCTCTTCGATCGGACATGGAGAAGCACACTTCCTCCTCAATACACTTCCGCTTGAAACTATTAACGGCGGCTGCGCAGATGCAGTCAGCGTTGGGTATTCAGGATTTAGGTAAATAAATATTTTATTGAATAAACCAAATATAGAAAAAAGGGTACAGGCCTATGGATATAATCATAGGCCTGTATCCTTTGTAATTTAAATGGCGAAATTATAAATAGAGGTGACGACCAAATTTTGTTTTCGCCAGGCAGATTATTGAAGAATATAAAATACGTATTTTTTTATTTTTTGCGTAATCCATAAATTACGGGGATACATTAGCTTGAAATGTCGCATGACGTCACGCTTTTGTACATTTTCTACAAAACTGTGACGTAGAGAGCCCTCACTTCACAACTTTAATGCCTATTATCTTAGCCATTTCTTGTTTTAATTAAAGCAAAACAAATACGTATCTAATATTTTTCTATTATCTAATATAATTCAAAGCAAGCATATCGTTTATTAACATCTTCAAAATAAACATCGCAATCGCTATCACATACCCCAGGTTTTGTGAATCTTGTTTCAATATGTATAACACTTTTGTAATGTAAATTCCGCATAAGAATAAAATCTATACTAATAATATAAAGAAAAAAGGTTTGTTTGCATCGAATAAGCACCGACTCTACCGGAGCTATCTTAAAAATTCTTTCACCTAGGTGTAGCTACATCATAAGGGCTATATTATAGCTATATTAAACGCGTGTGAAGACGCAGGACAACTACTAGTGCTAATAAACCTTTTGTAGTAGTTGAGTTAGTGCGTATTTTAAGAGTTCAAATACCAACCACTTCAAAAAACTTTATGTATCGGTTGTACTAAAATACTTTGTGACTATAGTAGTTTATCATTATCAGGTCAATTATATCACAAACCGCTGAGGGACTCGCACGGCACAGTGGTGTTGTCGTGTGTGAACAGCGTCAAGTCCGTGAAAACCGTGTCGGCGCTGAACTCGAGGTGGGCGCCGGTGTCGAGGCTGCGGCGGCGGGTACTCAGCGAGGACAATACCATTGGGGAGTTGCTGATGGCGTCCGTTCACGAACAAATTGCCTACCATCAGGTTTGTATACTTAGACACAGTAAAAAAAATTATGACTGTTAAAAAAAAGAAATTCTATTTAGCCCATCATTTAGTTACTAGAGACATAATAGATACTTATTTTGTTTGCTTCAATTTAGCAAAAAAATATCTTAATTAGATATTAGGCAGGCAGTCGAGAAGTGCGCACTCTGTACGTCACAACTACCTATAAAATGTGACGTCAAGCGACATTTCAACTCGATGTATCGCAGTAACTAATTGTTACACGAAAAATTAAAAAAATATGCGTTTAATATTCTTCAATAATCTTACTGATGGACAGACAAAGGAAAAATAGCCATAATCCCAATAACTATGATTCAACTATTGCAATAGACCAGATTTTGCAGCGCAGCAAATGTCGACCAATCATAATGATTAAATTAGCGGTAAATCCGCCGGTGACTGGGACGGAAAATTACTAAGTATTTAACCTACACCTTGTGGTAAAAGTAGAACTGATTATAAATTTAACAACAAAACAAAAAAGGTGTTCTTTCTCTTTATATGCCATACGCTAACAGGTGTCGGCGAGCATCTTTGGTAAATGTTGATTAGGGAATCATTTTTACATTATATTCCGGTGATTTTCTTAGATATCATTTATTTTTTGTGTTTCAAATGACAGTATTGTAGACCTTTATATCATTTTACAATTGTTACACGCATTTTATAAGGGATTGATCCTAGCAAAGAGTTATTAAATTGTTATCTATCATTATTAACAAATAACAAATGGTTATATAGTAGGGGAGCCGAAGCGGGGATTTCGGGATTTACTAAAGCGCGGCAGATTAATATACAGGGGGATACCTTGTACCCAGTTAAGTACCTGGACCAAGTATGAGCCCTATAAAAATGGCCGCCCGGCAAGGACGAAGGATCAGATTAGTAAAAAAAAATTGATCATCTGAAAATCTCGAGCGCGTCAGATTAAGGTAAGGTGAGCTAGTTACATGCTAAAATGTGTACATAACTCTAATCTGACAATTTGAGAGTGACGTAAAGAAGGGGGAAGGCTACAAAGTTGTAAAAAAAAACGTCACTGAAATTCTCGAGCGTGGCTAATTTTTTTTTATTTTGAAGGGAATCATTCAAGGATTACGAAAAATATATAATCTGACGATTGTCACAAGCCGAAGTAATAGAAATTCGTCGATAAGATTTAATGCGTTTAAGCTACGTGATACCTATATTTCCTTCTCCGCATCACTATTTCTCTCTCTTTTTCTATCTATTACTCTCTCACTCCGTCCCCACTCTGGTTTTGGTTGCCATGACGTCATGACAGCTGATGACACAGACTCGTTCGTGGCGTGATATTGTTTACATCGTATTTCCAACGTTTTTGCTTATTTTGTTATTTTAATGTAAATTTTGTGAATTAAACTTTTTACATATTTACTAAGAGAAGAAGAGGAAGATGATAATTAATAAAAAATACTGTAAAAATTAAATTTTCATATAATCATTTTCTTATAAATATAAGTATTTTACATAAAAAAAACATACGCTTTTTTATTTGCATGCTAACTCCGGTGCTATTCTATTTAATTAAGCTCAATGATTTGAAAAAATTAAAAAAAAAAATTAATTGTGTCAGTTTAAGTAAATCCCTTCAGATAATCGTCAGATTATGAGATATCACGTCTGGGGCATAAAGATGAACCATATATATCTTAATCTGACGCGCTTGAGTATTTCAAAATGGCGATTTTTTTTTGCATATTCTAATAATGGTCACGCGTTTGCGTCACATCCAAATCGTCAGATTATTATATGAGAGCTTTTTTTTAGGTTCACTTGACATCCCCTCAAAAAATCTGACGCGCTCGATTAAACTTTTTTTTTTCATTTTCAACCCTTACGTATAACCACCCCCATCATGGAAATGATCAGATTAACATACGACAGTTTTTAAAAATGCGTAGGACATGGATGATATTAATATCTGACGCGCTCGAGTATGTCCATACAACAGTTTTTTTTACATTTTCAAAAATCTATAGCCGCTTCCCCCACCGATGAAAAGGTATATATTATATGACATTTTTTTTTTGTTATCATCTAAGCTTCGCAACCCAATAGGTCTCTATGACGCTCGAGTAAATCCCGATTTAGCATCGTGGGCTCCCCTACATAATATAGAATGTTATAGCTGTCAATGAATGCCGCTTCGATTTTTATATCAATGTAAATGGCCAATATTTTTTAACCTTTTATTTATTACCTTAATACCGTCTTATTTATGAATTTGAGTTATTTGATTACCATACCACTACATAACAGTTGACTGAATTTGCTGCATATACCTAAGATTTAGACTACATCTAGCCACGTCGCCGCTTTCGACAGCACGCCGTGAAATCCTTGGGTCGATTCGAAACACGCGTTTCTGAGTAACATAAAAGAGTAGAGCGACGAAAAACGGCGATACCGTGTTACTTGATGTGATCCAATCCTTATCTGTTGTCTTATTTTAGTATAATAATAAGCATACTCTGTATTTTTATTTCCATATTTAACGTAATGGTCAATAAAATACTAACTTTCTAACTTAATACAAGGTTTCGCGCGTTCAACTCGGTCGCGGGCTGTACCTGGGCTACTTGAAGCTGCAGTCCTCGGTGGAGGTGGTGAGGATCGTGGCACCAGCGCGCGCGCCCAACGTGCCGCCGCACACGCGCGTGCGCGACAACCCACACGTCTCCGCGTACGTATTTTAACTTGGCTATACATAGGTAGTACTGACGTAACGTTTGAATTTTTACCAACGACCGTTTAGTTGGTAGAGAGATTGCACTTGACTATCGAAAATTAGCTCTTTAAAGCTTAATTAGTCACGGTTCACTAAATCGAGAAAAGGCCTTCCTTTACCCAAAGTTTTTGAAAAACCTATCCAACGATACCCCACATTATGTGGAAGACGAAAAACAAAATAATCATCCCCATTTTACATGTAGGGTTAGTACCCTACATTTTTTTTTTCGAAATAATACTTTACCACTTTATTGGCGTAATTAAAGTGTAAATTTCAATTTTCTAGTACCAATAGTTTTCTAGCTAAACCCCGGACGGACGAACGGACATTGCGAAACTATAAGGGTTCCTCTTTTACTACGGAACCTCAAAAAAGGGGAGATAATATCTTATTTGTAGTACATTAAACGCTTAAAATATTTCTATCTATTAAGAAAACTCGATCCATGATATTGTAAAAATTCTTTAAATTTAAAATTAAAATATTTATTAATGTATAATATCGATTAGAAAACGAAAATCTTTAAATCATATAAGAAATCAATAACGAAAATCTTGATAAAATCATTTTTTTCTTTTACAGTGAAGAATGGGATTATCTTAGAACACAATCAGGGAAAACTTCATCTGAAGAAGTGCAAGCTATGAATAGCCTCGTACCCATCGGCAGTCAGGAGAAACCTTCAGAATCTCAAGAAATGTTCCTGGATCAAATCGCGAACGCAGCTCGACGACTGTTCATAGAAATGGATATACCATTAGAGAGCGTCATCGCCCACCGAATATATGATCTAGAAGTCATAGAACTTAATAATGACGTAAGCTTTATAATGATCTGTCCACCAGCTGAGCAAGCTTGCTCTGTACCAGGCCAAAAAGAAATACTTCTGCAGAAAGGTGACTTGCTCAGTCTACCAATACAGGCTTTCGAAATGATTCATCTGCAGACTTACCATAGTAGTATACTGAATAAATACTCCAAACTTAGTTGTGTATTAGAATTAGATGTAGCATTAGCCGCTCATTCTCATAGAGAGGCATTCTCTTGTACTGAACTACAAACCGCCAAAGAACGACTGACGAAACTAGAAGACCTTCAAAATAATTTAAATGCAGTTTGGAAAGCGGAAAGATGGCTAATGGATCTTATCGGGTTCGCTAGAGACAAAGACAAGGCTTCTCCTAACTCCGGTATACTTTTAAAACATGTTCTAGATAAAACTCCTCAAATTTGTACAGACGGACCTGAGTTAGAAACTAGTGACAAAGACTCTAATTTGAAAGTGGATCTCCTTCAAATACCATCGAGGGATGGTAAAATGACGAAAACGTCTCCAGGCCGAGGATCTTGGCCTGGTCCCGCCGGTAACGGAAACCATGGCAATTTACATCCGGAATTCAGCAAATCTGAACAACAACTTAGCATAGCTCCGCGTCAAGCCTCTGTATCAACATTGAATCTATCTAGTTCGCAATACCTTAGTGCTGAAAATAAATACATAAGAAAAGGTAGTGGAGATTCACAATTCACTCAATCTAGTGCAATGAGCAATAACTACACGAGTAGCAATTCTCAGTTTGACATCAAATCACCCAGCTCTTACACTAGTGCGGGAAGTAATAATCGTCTTCCACCTTCTCGGAGCGAAGACACTTTGGTCCTACAAAATGAAAACCTTGAACAGAAACCTCGACCGCATAGCATCACTGCAACGAGCATGTCAAACACTTCGAGCCCTCTACTGACAGTGAAAGGATTTTATCCCGGAAGCATGATCAGCGTGAGGACGTCGAAAGGGAATATATCGGAGTCCGCCCAGAGTCTGTCGAGTGATTCAGAAAGTCAGAGTTGTCCAATAACCTCAACATCAGTTCCTTTGAAAATCCGTCCGCTAGGAAAACACTTTAGGACGTCCAATAACGTTATTACCTCCAAAAGTATGACAAACGTTAAGTCCTCAGAAGTGGACTATACAGACACGGGACAGGAATTGTTTGCCAAGCCGAGCACATGCGTTAAGCGTCTTCCACTCTTAGAGACACAAGAAGACACAGAGTATAATAATAAGATTCCAAAGACTGATGAAGGAAGTGAGAATGAAGAACGTCAAGAACAAGCTCAAGAACAACGCCCGCCTGACCAGCCGGGAATATTGCAGGTACTTATTTGATTTCTATGTTAATAAAAACTGATTATTATTTAGATTAAAAAAAGGTTCACCTTAATATATTAGCAGTGAAGTCAAATCGGCTTTTGAAATCTTTGTTATTTCAATATAGTTAGTAGAGTTAAGCAGCATGATCTTATCATATCTGTAGTTAATAGTTTGGATGTCAGTATTATGATATAGCATTACGGAAAACCCTTTAATGCACTACGTATAGGTTAAGTGTCTATAGAGTCTTTGTTATTTCGGCTTACCATTACGGCAGTCTTAGTTGCTGAACTTAGGATCGCAGCAATGTACAGTCAACTGCAAGTTAGATTATAAAAAACAGACAAATTTCCCCATTCAATTTTTAACATTAATATGTCAGGGTAGAGGCCAAAATCCAGTGCAGTTTGACATTTTAAGGCAACCTGACGTGTAGCCGTATATATGTCGCAGGCATTTTGTGTGAATCCGCCGTTTACATATGGCGTCGTCAGTTTAGAAACGCTCGCTGTTAAGTAATTTGCCGAAGGCAAAATGACAACTCGTTCAATTGTTATAATTTTAATGTTGGTTGTAGTTTTAGGGTAACCATGAAGAAAACACACTTTGAAATAATCAGACTAAATAATAATTAACTTTTTAAGATAATATCATACTATCAAATAAAAACAATTAGGTGGGTACATTAATAATTTTTTGAAGTCTTGACTTATTCATCTAACTTATATGATATTTCAAAGTTACCAAATGATACTATTTAAAAAATATATTAATTTTAAATTGTCCTCGTTATAACTTTAATTGTTTTGGTAAGTTCAATATCAATGTAAAATCGGTGAAATCGGACCCCATAATTTACAAAACCGTACATGGATGGCAATATGACAAATAAATAATATATGATTAATAGATTTTATTTCTACAAAATGGTGAATTTTAATGTCGGGGAACCAAACTAAAATGTTAAATGCTGCTAATAATTATCAAGATAACAAAACGTCTGATGATAGTGCAAAAACAAAACGCGAAAATCTTTTTAAGAAACGTTCTGGTTTACGCAGAAGTACTTTAATAATAAAACTATATCTTGGAAGTGTTTCATGATTTTTGCCCTTGAAAAGGGTCATCTATTTTAATGGATATTATCGTTTCCTGTACATTGCAATTAATTCTATTACCTTTAAAGTACCATCAATACGCTTAATAATCGAATATAAAGTCAAAATAAGATTGTATAGAATTCATTCCGTTCTCTTTAATTGAAAACCACACAATATATCAAAGGGTTGTACTTTGGATGGTTTTTGAAAAATCGATCACATACATCAACGATGTCAGAAGCGATTCTCAATTAATCGCGAGTTTTTCAAACATGTTCTATAGAATATTATCTGTCGCCATTTACTGCTAATAATAAGTGAGATATGTGATGTAATGACGTGTACCGACTGAGCGAATGAACGTCAAATATATATTCAATATAAAATCTATATATAATATATTATATGAAATACGGTCTTTGAATACTTTCATAAATATTTATTTTATTCGTTCAAATTACGTATTGAATACTTGAGAAATAAAAAAATTGAAAGCTAAGATACCACAACCGATTTAAGAAGATTATTGCCAGTTCTGTAGTTGAACCGATGAAAGGTTAACGTATCGATTATTTTGTTCTAAATAATCGATTGGTTGATTTTATTTTGACATGTTTGTTTTCATCTATGAATGTTCTAAGATGATGATGGTGGAATGATAGCGGATGATTGGTTTGGTTTGTTTTTTGTGTGTTCGTTCGTGGAGTTTGATATTTATGTTAATATTCAACTTGACAATTAAGCATGTTTCTTCGACTAACGTTGATATTTGCATTACTTTTGGATTCCGAATGGCGATTGATTCGGTTATAACAATGACAGTTCAATGTGTACATTGCCCTTGTTTGTCACTTTCAGTTGTAATGATTTAATTAAAGGCAAAGGGATCTACTCCACACAGTTTAGTCATATAAATGTTTCTTCTATTATAAATGTCTGGATATTGTTAGATATGTAATTATTTTAATCTAGTTTATTAAACGGAGTAACCTGGTTACCATTTTTATTCATTTTAACGTCCATTCAACGAAAAAGCAAAGATGCAATATATAACCTCACAAAGTATTTTATGCCATATCTCTTTAATCCCAACTTTTAAAGGAAAAAGACGATTAGGATTTTGTTAGTTTAGCTTATACCTTCAAGTACACGTTTATTTCATTGATGAACGCGACTTTAAAAATTCAGGTCCAAAGCTATATGGGATAAAAAGAAAATTACGCCTATTTAGGGTTTTAATAATTAAATAATTAATGCGCGTGTCAAACTTGAGTGTCGTTTGGACCCACAAAGAACGTTCTTTTTAAAACATGCACATCCGTTATTTTAACACTGCCTTTTAGCCGACTTGCATAAGCAGTTGGCAAAACCTTTTCCGCCAAATAAAGATTCTTTAGAAACAGATTCTCTTAAGGAATTATCTTTTAATATTTTTTTGAAAAGAATATTTGAAGAATTTCTTACACTAAACTTAAACCAGTTTTTGATAATCCCATTACTTATTCTTAATTGGTAAACGCCGTGGGTCATATCCAATACTCTTCCAGATATATTTTTAGCATCGGACCTTCTATCAATATTTGCGAAGTTAAAAAAACTATATCTTCAATATCTACAGCTGCCTTGATGCAGCAAAATTTACACATCAAACACAAAACATTTGAGCTATAACCTTTTTTGCCAATTGTTTCCCTGCAAATATTGTGAACTGGTTTAAGACAAAAACAACATTTATGGGCACAACTAGTTCCGTCTTTAAAATCTCTAGATATAATTGGTTTAACTACGATGCCTTTCTTTGGTATGTTTTATGTTGGACAGATAGGACAAAGTGAGACGAATAAGTCGATCGCTTTTCTAACAATAATTTTTTTCATCAATAATATTGGGCAGGTATCCTCCGAGAGCCAGATTATATATAGCATTTTTGAGGTGCCGGATTACATCAAAAATCCTTTCATTTGTCCACGGCTTTTTATAGATTCCGCTTGATTATCGTCTTTTAATCACAAATATTTTGCAAAAAGTCTCCTGAACACGCATTATTTGCACTATTTTCAATATCTTTTTGTGTCTCAAAACCACTGATTGATGCCATTTTGTTTATTATAATCAACAACAACGGGAGTGGTAGAAACAAAATTAATTATTTATATTGCGGTATTATGTAGATGGCGTTTAAATTATCAATCTAATGTTTAGGCATAATATACAATGAATCGGCAATATACATTTTTCCTTCGGCATATTACATAATAGCGAGCGTTTCTAAATTGACGACGCCGTATGTAAACGGCGGTTCCGTACAAAATGCCTGTGTATACCTGTGATGTCTATCACTTATTTATTTTTATAATATCTTTCTAGGTCTTCGCAGCATACGAAACTGGTCTAGCTGCCGGAACTTCACTCAAGCTCCACGTGACTCCGCGCACGTCTGCACGCGAGGTTATCGACCTTGTCGTTAAACAACTCAACATGGCCGCGGTCCTCAAAGGCAAAGAGGGCCCTGTTTATGGACCAGAGAAATTGCAAGATTTCTGTCTTGTGGCCGTCATTGGAGCTAGGGAAAGGTGTCTCAGGGACGATTTTAGACCGCTGCAGCTGCAAAATCCATGGAGAAAGGGAAGGTTGTACGTGAGGCTGAAACACGACGTCCTAGCTGCTTTGCAATACTCCGCAAAGCAACCGTCGTATATATAGGAATGTTGGTAATTGTGATTACCTATCTCAATTTAATAGTCCGTTCAGAATTACTATATTTTGTATCAAAAATTATTTTATTAGCAAATCCTAATATATTATCTAATTATCGTGTGAGTGTATGATAGATTAAAACAAAATACGTCCACAAGAAAATATTTAAAAAAAATATAGCTTCTTTAAACGGACTTTTACTTGAATAGGTGTCTAATAAATGTAATTATAAAGTAACATCCGCAATTGTTGAAATTATTATTTAGTATAAATAATTAAATGTTAAAAATAAGTATCATGGAGTAGTTTTTAGTAATTAACTCTGGAATATTTTATAAACTAATAACATTTTTATTTTTTTTTAAATAAATTAATTACTTGCGTTAGCTGCCTATAGGATACGATTTACTTTTGGTGCCAATTCTTATTATGTTGATGCTTTAAATAATTAAGATAATGTTGTGAGTATTATAGAGAAATATTCGAACAGAATTTATGGTGCTTTTCACTGTAATTAATGTTTACCGCTTATTAAATCTTGATATTTCATTGACGTTTAAAAACCAACTACGGTTTTAATTATCAAAAGTATAACCAAGGGATATTTTTTAATGATGGATGGATAAGGATTTGTCTTTAACATTGACTTTACTACACGTATGGAAAATGATGTTAACCACTATTTGTAATAATAATCCTGCCTGCTAATTATCTACTTATTAGGCTTAAAATTTAAATTTAAAAATAAAACCAAACCTTGTACATTTTAATTAAATTACCCATATTAATCTCTATATATCATATTTATTACCTACGTGTCGATTTCAAGAAAGAAATAAGATATATATCATAGCTTTTATTTCTTTAATCTTTATAGGTAATTAAACGTTAATGAAATTGCCACATAACGTGTTGTTAATAGTTATTTAAAATAAAATGAATCAGAAACAGTATGAAAACTAAAACTATTTTGTTAATGTGTTCGCAATAATGCTAACTTAATTTTAACACGAAATTCACTCTTCATTTAGTTTGATTTATAATGTTATTATAAAACGTAGGTTTAGTCAAACAAAATTGAAATTTCCAATATTTATAAGTTTATTATTTCAATTTCTTCACATGACATGTAACAATAGATACAATTATTGAGTATATACTAAATATGCTTAATACAAAGAAGAATAATTAGTAAAAAAGATATATCACAGCTTAACCTTAGCCTTAGTATTGAAATAAAATCATATTCGTGTGTAATATCTACCGGTTGAAAACATAACTCCTTGATATAAACTCGGGTAAGTTTGCTAACATAAAGACCTTTTTTTTGTTATAAAACATCCAAGTATCTAGCGATTACGATAACTTAGATAAACACGGTAGATATCCATGTTTATTTTCAACCCAATTACATAATTGTCGTTTGTGTCAATCTCTGAGGTAAACAGGGTTACTTACTAGTTTCAGATATTATATTTGTATTTTATCTTATCCTATTATCGTAAACCAGATATTTTTTTTACCATTTCAACATAAGCCATAATAAAACCTTTTTATGATACTTTTGTGGAAACTGAAAATACAGTAATAAATTATTTTCATTCTTAAAAGCTATAGAATTATCTAATCCTAATGCAGTATTAATAATTATTATTAAATAATACCTTCAAAGAGATATATGTTTTGTACTTTAGTATATTGAATTAAGGGATAACTTGTATACATCTTTTTAGGTACGATTGTATATTTAAATATGTATTTTATAATTTCAAGCTGATGCATGCATATCAATGAAAAAACTTACCAAAGCTACGTTTTGTAGGAGACGAATTCTCGTATATTTTTATAAATAGCTTGTATCAATGTTCCCTTTATCTCCAATAATTAACATACCCACTTAGATCTCTAAAAGTATTCTATTAGATTTTCTTGATTTAAATTATTACATTTTACTCTCTTCTTCAATAGATGAATGAGTGAGAATGACTCAAAGTATAGATAGAAGTACTGTTTTTAGAATACTCAAATATTATATTATTATGATTATATTACACGGTTGTACATTTTTAGATAGTTGCAATGTACAAAAAAGTGTAATTAGAAATAGTATGAAGTATTAAAATAATTGAAGATTCGAGCCATAAATGATGCAGAATGCAATTGTAATAAAGCCTAACTGAATGTCTTATGATAAATATAAAATAAAGTTTATTTTAGAATAACTTATGTATCATTCACCTTATCCGGTGTTGTAAAATTAGGATTTAGAAAGAGTGGGAGTATGAAGTGATGCACAAAATAAATGTATTACAAATCTTTGTATTTCTTTATTATAATTATAGTAAGACCCTTATTCGCTAGGTGCACGATGGTAGCGCCAACTAGCGGTTACAATTATGTCGGACATTGAAATGTCAAATGGTTGGCATTTAGTACGAATAGTAAGTAAACAAACAATAATTTAATTGAAATAGCGTAATTTACTGAGATTTTATTCGATTATGTAAACCTAAGGTGTCATTAATGCTGTTGATCTTTTTTATTTTCAGTCTAAAATGCCACAATCAATTATGGAATAGAAAAGTCATACTAGTAGTTCACAATTATCTACAACATTAACAATAAAATTTCAAATTGTAAATATAATCACTACTTCTCGAAGGCAGATCTTCACTATATAATAATAATAATAAATTGTCCTTAAAACTATTTCATCTTGCTTGATTATATATACTATAACTTTGACATTAAAATTTGATTATTCAACTAGATTTCATATAAAATTTGGCATAAAAAATATATTTTAGATACAACAAAAAAAGGTAAATTAATATGAAAAATTCCTTAAAATTACACTTTTACGTAACTGATAAATATAAAAATATGTAATTTATATCATGAACATGAGCACATACTTTTCTATGTACTCATACTCCTATTTGGTGAAGCTACAGCTTAGTAATTTTGTTCTTGTTTCCAACTCACTCGAGGAAATCTATAAATTTTTTTATCACTTTTTTGCCATTGTTCTTGCAGCCAACTACACAGCAGGTATCGTGACGCATTTTATTAATTTTTGCTTAAAATTCACAAATAATATGTAAATTTCTTAAGTAAAAAGTGACATTTAGTCCGACCGAGTTTTCCGTTTTAGCCACGGTGCGCGCTGCGATCGATTCGTGTTCTCCCACCTCCTACTTCGCACCTAGCGAATACTAATTTGGAGCGTACACCTGCAGAGCGATGACTTAACTAACTCCTCTAGCTATTATTCTAGTCATAGGATTCGACATCTTGGCTATGTCATATCGCTATTTCGTTTCATTCTACTACTTTAAATGTATATTAATAACGACGGACAGATAAAAGATAAAGAATGATGAATATGGATTTAATAGCAGTTTTTCCAACGTAGTTATCAAATGCAAGGATGTGCGTTATTTCTGTCACACGTTTTATACGTATTCTTGTATATACGCACGGTATACCGGGTTGTGTCAATCGTCTCGAGGGTTCATTATCGTTATCTCTATAGCAGACGGCTATTCTAATAAATAGTAATGGTAAGACGACGGAAAAAGGTAATAATATGGTACCAGATGTAGTTAAACCCTAAAAAGACGGTAATGTCTTTTCACCATAAGGGCGATGGGGTCAGCACGAGGAGTGCGGGCGACCTCTGTGCGCTAATTGTGAATAAAACATTGATCGAGCAACGTAAACGAGGTACAATCACCACACGCCACACGCAGATCCCATCGACCAGTGTAAATGCGCCTTTAAAAGTTGAACTTACCTGGCGGCAAGGCATATCTTATTTTCAGATTGTCAAAATACCTACAGTATCCGGCAGGATAGACTTCAAAACAATTTCGAAGTGAAAAAAAAATACATAATAGGTGTTTATTATTTTTAAGAAACTTCTGTTAAAGTCGGCAATCAATATTAAAAATCTACACAAAAACCGACGTAATTGCGTTATGCGAAAGCGAAACAATAAAAAACTAGTCATCAGTTGTATAATCTCCGCAAATTGCTAGTTCCCATTTTGGTGACGTAATTGCGTTTAACAATTAATATCGCTAACAAATAAACACTGGTTGACGAGTACACTTATTGAGTTGGGTTATGTTGAAATCACATACAATTTTTGTTATGTATTTGTTGTTCTCGATTGTATTGTTAAGTTTAGTTGTTACATGTTAAACGGCCAGTTGCACAAACGTCCATTAGGTTTAATGACGCCTATCACTTCTAATGAATGTCATATTTATATAGGTAATGTCGCTTTAAACTAATGAAGATTTTAATGGACGTTTATGCAACTGGCTGGTAGTTGACTTAAATAGCACTGCTATTATGATTCTCTTTTTTTTGCAATTTACGGTACTTATATAACAATGTTTCGCATGTGTTTTATCTCGTTCTATAGTTCGACGAAATAGCTGCGTTCTTGTCAATACAGTTTCGCAGACAAAAACTGTGAGAAATGTCGTTACATAAACGCAGATGTTGTTGATTCGCAATAGTTTCGCAGGGTTTGGATTTCATAAGCGAATGTGAAACAATAAAAGATTGATAGTTGTAATTATGACAATGTATAGCATATGCTTTGTCTTGCTATATTTTAAGCTCGACGAAATAACTGCGTCCTTGTTTCGCAGACAACTGCAAAAACGTCGTTACACGAATACAGATGTTTCGCATTCGCAATAGTAATAAATAATAATAACTTTATTTCTCACCACAAACAACACTATAAAAAGATCTACATTTTTATTGAGACTGGTTCTTGTTTGGGTTCAACCCCGTATTACAGGTCATCCAGGCCCCCCTTGTTTATTTATAATCTTAACTTCACAATCAATATGTTTGTATCATCACATTAATGGTAACTTAATATAACAGACGTTATTATTATATAACTTTATAACGGCTATTACGCGGTTAGTTTAGGCTAAATAAGATTATAATATGGGCAATACTGTAACTGACTGACAGCTGTGCCTGTCTGCATCTGTCTGTCACACACACGTCAACGTCACATCAGTCTAAGTCTGTGTCAGTCAGTGAGTGAATTGTCAAAGTTGTAGTCGTAGATGTTTTTTTTATCGCTTCTCTAAATAACATACAGTCCAAACTCCAAAGAACACAATAGGTTTCTATTATTAGTAAATAAAATTCTTATTTTTTGAGTTTATCACGCATTTTACATAATTATTCCAAAATGAGTTTAGTTGCAAACACAGGGTAAGAAGCTGTTTCACAGATTTCATATCACCATAAGAGGTGTCCCATTTAATTTTAATTTATGTTTCTAATTAGAAAATTGGCCGGCCGTACGCTGTTTGTGACTGGCGCCTCTCGTGGTATCGGCAAAGCTATCGCATTAAAAGCTGCGAAAGATGGAGCAAATGTGGTAGTTGCAGCCAAAACTGCTGAACCTCATCCAAAATTACCTGGAACTATTTACACGGCCGCTGAAGAAAGTAATTAGTACAGTAATGTTCATATTCAATTTTCATAATTCAAACAAATATTGTGTTATATTTATGTTATAATGTGTTGTTGGACTTTGCACCTATAAAACTTTGAAGAAAAAATATTTTTGAGTGGTACAGTTATTTCATAAGTCATTGACCTTCTACTTGGTGCGTTTATATGCAAGGCAATTATATGTATAAAAATAATTAATATTTAAAATAAAATACTAATTCTGTCTCAATTTTCAGTACCTAGTGAATTGTTAATACTTAATCAATTCATAAGATTGATTCTTTGCTGTAATTCATTGTTATTTGGATTTCAGTTGAAGCTCTTGGAGGGAAAGCATTACCAGTGATTGTAGATGTTAGAGATGAGAAACAAATTCAAAAGGCAGTTGATGAGGCAGTCAAAAAGGTATGCTTAATACTAACAGTGCTAGCCCAAAGCAAATGTAAGGATGTCTAGAGCAGTGTATTTCATTCTACATACATATTATAAGAAACCTTGATTTACAAATGCACTTTTGTGGCTTTTTAGACTATCCAGAACTGCATGTAAATAAAATAAAAATAATTATTAGCAATTAAAGTTACCAATAGATAAAAATTTTACAACATTGAACACAGTGTAATATAATTTCACACTATGATATTAAATGAACTCATATAAGTGTATATCATGCTTTTTTAATGATACTGAATTTTATTATTATGCTAATTTGAGTGATATTTACTTATTCAGAGAAATATGGTAAAAATAGTGTTAATATTAATTCAATTTATATTTATTAAAAAATAAACTTTAATTCTAGTGTATTTATTGCTATTTAACAATTTAATCTCAATAGTTTATAAGTTTTAGAAAATACCCATTTATTATTTAATTGCAATAGATATCTTGCTTATTTTTGATGCACATTAAATAGTACTCTGTCTGTTGGACTTCAACTTTTATCAGAAAATTTGGATTATATTAATGGGCATCTATTTCAATAATAATGATATTTGAAGCACATAGAATACCTGTAATACATAATATTTTGATCGCACCTTTATGGTGTAAGTACAAATTCATGACTTTAGGAGAGGCTGAAGGTTACTAATATATTTTTATGCACTTTTAATATGCCATAATTTCAATGTTTCCAGTTTTTTCAATATTAATATAATATATTATGGTCAATATTACATGAAAAGAGTAATTTTTATTATTTAAATGATTATTTTTTAGTTCTATTTATTTTGTAGTTCAATGGCATTGATATACTGGTCAACAATGCATCTGCCATCTCACTCACTGACACAGCACACACCGATATGAAGAGATACGATCTTATGCACAATATTAATACAAGAGGAACTTTCTTAGCGTAAGTTGAATTATTTATGTTAACTTGAATGTCTCAATTATCAAAAAAATAATAAATAAAAAATATTTTCTTTCTGCAGATCTAAACTATGCCTTCCCCATCTTAAAAATAGTGACCACGCCCACATTTTAAATTTATCACCACCTTTGAATTTGAATCCACATTGGTAAGTTCCTTCTATTGTTTTTTCATATAATCTGGAGATTAAGGCTTTTAAAAGAACTGCCCAGAGTTTATCTTATTCTGATATTAAACAGCTTTAAACAAAATGCACATGAATATTATTCTGATAGTGTAGTCTATACATTACTTCTTTCAGTATAGATTGTATGGAAGAAATCTGTTAAACGATAATGCTATCTAAGGTGCAAATGATTTTATGTTTGTAATGTCATTCTTTATATTGAAATAAATCCATTTATTTACCTCTGTCGTGTGTTGTACATGGGGGTTTTATGGACTGAAAGTAAAATTTTATTTATGCTTATGTATGTCATATTGCACCTAGCAAGTTTTTAATCTATAACCTTGTATTTAAAAGCCTAGCATTGTCAGTTACCATCAATGATACATAATAAATATAACAGTATTATTATAAAAAACTAAGTTTGTGCTTTATAAATTTAAAAATTAACAAAATAGATTTCTGAAAAGCCTTTTCATCTGTATTTCACCCGAATGTTTCATTATTACATTCCTCAAGTAATAATAATAAATTTGTTTATTCTCTTCACAAAATTTGGTTACACATTCGGTACATAAATAAATATTCTTAATATTAACATTCCTCAGGTTTGCTGTTCATGTAGCATACACAATGGCTAAATATGGAATGTCAATGTGTGTATTAGGAATGAGTGAAGAATTCAAACCATTCAACATTGGTGTGAACGCTCTCTGGCCTAAAACAGGTATGTACATGCCAATCATAAATTTACATAAGTTATGAATTATAAATACATAAGTTATGTCAATTAATTATTGCAAAATGCAGCTGGTAAAAACGCTCTGTAGCAGCAAAAAAGTAACAAGTGCTTGAAAGATTCATCAGTCCTGTTAGGTCCTGGGTATCTCAGTGGTTAGAGCAGTCGCCCGAATTGGGAAAGTTCATGGGTTTGCATCCCATCTCAGAGTGCTAGGGACAAAGTGAATTTTTTAAGCATTTTTCATTAAGAATATATTTCAATATAGCATTGTGAATAAAAAATTTGATTAATTATTATAAATATGGCTTACATTAAAAAAATATAAATCTGAAATGATTGAAAATGTTTTAAATATGTACATATACATATGTATCTTATATGTGTATATTGCAGCCAACTGGTTAAAACAGCCGTACAATTGGGCAAAAGTTATTTAGTTTTTTTTTTTTTTTTTTTATTTATTTAGGATAACAAACAATTGTACAATACATGATTCATAAATTTGTACAGTTAGAGATAAATAATAAATTGCACAACCAGCACCGTTATCCACAAAATAACCAAAACCTATGTTATCTACATTAAACAGAAAAGGATTCATAATTAAATACGGTTGCTTCTCGTAAACAGTACAGCAATTCCGGGAGTATAGGCATTCAATACAATAACACCACAAATATGGATACCAGCATCGACGAAATCACGACACCCAGAAAGTAGTAGAATTTTATTTAATTACCTTATTGAAATATAAATAGTTGATATCAGTGAACCAACAATATTAAATATATATATAAATATATTTACCTATTATATGACTTAGTGAGTTGTGTAATTATTTTTGATTTGAAGTCTCTTAAAGTAAGTGCAAATAAATCAATATCACAAAAATAGTCATTATATAAAGACATCATTTTATAAAACGGTGTACGTTGACCTGCGTTAGTTCTAACATTTTTTAAATGAAAAAGTTTATGGAGGCGTTTATTACGTATTCTTACTGATCTAGCAGGTATCCGATAGAAGATATTATCGGTTAAATCAATACAGTCAAAAACATTATGCATTATTTTATATAATGTCATTGTACTCAGCATTGTTCTACGTTGCTCCAAACTATGTAGCGAGTGTGTCTGTAAGAGTTGTACATAAGAAGATTTCGGTAAACGACATCTGTAATTGATACGTTTCAAAAATTTGCGCTGCACTGATTCTATTAAATTGACATATTTCTTATAGTGAGGATTCCAAATGGTTGTAGCGTATTCTAGCTGGGATCTTACAAGGGCTTTAAGCAAGTGTATGTATGTTGCAGATTTTTTAAATTTACAACCTATACGCATAATAAATCCATACATTTGATATGCCTTACTAACTATATCTGCAATATGATTATCGAGGTGAAGTTCAGAGTCCCATAGTATACCGAGGTCACGGATACTATTCACTTTTACAAGTATTTTCTGACCGAGTATATAATCGAAGTGTATGGTATTTTTTTTTTTTTGCAAACGTAATTGATTTGCATTTTGCCGTACTTAAATATAACTTGTTCAAGGTGCAGTATTCATTCAATCGGTCCAAGTCGCTTTGGAGACTCCAACAGTCATTATTATTCTGGATATTTTTAAAGATTTTTAAATCGTCTGCGTATAAAAGAAAGTTACTATTCTTAAAGCATTGATCTATGTCATTAATAAAGATAAGAAAGAGCAATGGCCCCAAGATCGAACCCTGTGCCACGCCAGATGTAATAATAGTGCTGCTTGAAGCGTAACCATTTATGACTACTCTCTGAGTCCTATTAGATACATATGAACAGAACCATCGCAAGAGGTCACCTCGAATACCATTGTATGCAATTTTCCTAAGAAGTAATTCGTGATCCACCTTATCAAATGCTTTACAGAAGTCAGTATAAATAGCATCTACCTGAATGCGACGATCCATAGATTCAAATAAGAAATTGCTAAATATGAGTAAGTTGGACTCTGTTGAACGTTGCTTGACGAAACCATGTTGTTGAGGTAATATGATAGTATGAAGCTGTGGATAAATAGCATTGTGCACTAATCTTTCCAGGACCTTGGCCAACACAGACAATAAAGAAATAGGACGGTAATTACGAACATCGCTCCTAGAGCCAGATTTGTAGACAGGAGTTATATTAGCCTTTTTCCAAATTTGTGGTACGGTGGCTTCTGTCATGCATTTATTGTATAGTATAACAAGAGGAACCGAGATGTTTACAGCCGTTAGCCTAAGAAATAGAGGAGGGATGTTGTCCGGTCCATGTCCTTTGTGAATATCTAGTGACTTTAACACCTTCATTACTTCATTCCGTGAGAATTTTATATCTGATATTATAAGATCATAAGAAGGGTTTTCATTTTGTGCAGAGATTAAATCGAAATTATCGACGGTATTCGCCTCAAAAACTGAATTAAAGAAGGTATTAAACATGTTACAAATTTGTTCAGGATCATCACACTTAGTATCCTTGTAGGTCATAGCATTTGGAATACCGCCCACGTCATTGTATTTGCGAACATAAGACCAGAATGATTTTATATCTTGACGTATGCTGGTCTCTACCGAATTTATATAAGTATTAAAACATTCATCGGAAAGGATTTTAAATCTACGACGATAAAGAGAAAAATTCTCATAGTCTGATATGTTACCTGTTTTTTTCCACTTCACCCATGCTTTGTCTTTATTTTTGAAAATGTGTATTAGTGGACGAGAAAACCATATAGGAAATTCTCTTGACTTAACAGCCCTCAAAGGTATGTGTTGAGCAATAATCCGATATATTTGTTCATAAAAAACATCAACAGCGTCGTGGACAGATAGGTTGCTCAGAATCTCATTCCAATTAATTGATTCAATGTCACTATTAACCAAGAGATAGTTACCCTCAAAGAATCTATATCGGGGTTTTTTATTATTAGTTATGGATGTGTAAGTCAAATCAAGAGACGTTGTCACTAAAAAAGGAGGGTGATGACTATCCATTGGAACTAATGGTGTATGTACTATTTCTATAGCACAATCCACTGAATTAGAAATAAATAAATCTAATATATTACCACTATTATTTTTATATATATTATATTGATATGACTTCAAGTAAGAAACAAAGTTAATTACGTAAAAATCTATGTCGCCGCTATTTTTAGTCAGTATAGGAGTCACTTCGGAGTCACTGTTCAATTCCCAGCAAAGTGATGGAACATTAAAGTCACCAAGGATGTATAAATTATCACTGTTTTGCGAAACGACTTTGTTTTGAACAGCATTTAAAAAATTTTTGTATGTGAGGGTAGATTGTTTAGGCGGTATATAAAGTGCACATAATGTATGAAAGCGATTATGTTTACCTGAAGGAAATCTAAGTAGAACGTAATCAATGTTTGGTGGCACCAGCTGAGAGTCGGTAACACATACAGTTTCGCTAGTTTTGTCCGACTGGAGATCAGATCGGTATGGAGTAAGCTCGCGGCGTACCGCCACAAGAACACCACCACCGTCCTTCTTATCACTAGCGACTAAATTGCGATCACAGCGAAATATCATGTAACGATCGTCCATTATTGATACATCCAATACTGACGGCAAAAGCCATGTCTCGGTTAACACAATGACATCATATGAATCTGACAAAATATTCATGTAAAGTAAATTTAGTTTTGTACGTAAGCCCCTGCAGTTCTGGTAATAAATCATCAATTTATCAGTCATTACCTATTAACCTACTTGCGTTATTGGTGTTTACGTTAGTTTCCTATATTGGATCATATGGACCATTAATCCTATCAATAAATGTCGGTGTTCCCGGTGAGTTGACAGTTTATTAATAGGCTGACCTTTGTTCAACCGTATTGTAGAACGTTCCGTTAAGCTACTCGACTGATCGAATGTCAGCATATTGACTGAATGGCGCCATTCGATTAAAGGGCTAGCCGCCCAATTAAACGCCTGTGTAATACCTCTTTGCTGCGATATATGTAAAAAACTGTCCTTATTTAACTTTATTCAAACTGTCATTTATTGGCGCGAAGCTAAATAATACTGCCATTGATTAAAACCAATCTAATTGATATTGTTATTAATTGATACCGTGCCAAATAATAGCACAAAATAATTTCAAATAATAAAAGTAACTACTAATTGCTACTAACTGTAATACTGCCATTAATAATTGATAGGTACTCTTCCATACTTCCATAAACTAGCACCGAACCAAATAATACAACAATTAATTTTCAAACAATTCAGTCGATTAAGTATCAACACATTATTTAAGCGATCGCGACTGCGGCCATCGAAATGCTGACAGGCGATATCTCAGCAAGCCGCAAGCCCGAAATAGTGTCTGACGCGGCGTACGTTATGTTATGCAAGTAAGTCTGTTCTGTCTAAATATTCTCGATGGATCCCTTAATAGATGCATTATCATCATCATTAGCATATGTCTCCCGTATCATTAAATAAAATTGATGATATATTAATTTATAAACATAGATTCCAGCGAGTCAAATACTTACACCAAAAATTACAATTTCTCAATGGGTTTTATACTATATAAGGTCCAAATAAGCTGTAATTAATACTAAGAAAACGACATATAATTTTGTCACGTATTAATGGGAAAAAATAAATAACGTCCAAATAAGCTGTAATTATGGGAAAAAGTTATCTGTACGAAAATTACAAAATTATGCCTAAATTTCGTAATTTTGAAGCGAGTCTCCTTGTAACTGAAGGATTTAAAGAACGCCTTTATAATTATCATAATTGTTAGCGAGTAATTAATTAAATCAATCGTTGTTGCTAAGCAACTTTCGCAAGGATCGGTCACGGGATGGGTGACCCAAAAATTATTATATCGAGCTACTTCGTGCTTCGGAAGGCACGTTAAGCCGTTGGTCCCGGCTGCATTTGCAGTCGTTAATACCCTCCAATCCGCATTGGGCCAGCGTGGAGGGTCATGGCCCATCCTCCTTAACCATCCATAAGGAAGGCTTGAGCCCCTGCAGTAGGGACGTAAAAAGGGCTGATGATGATGATGAATTAATTAAAAATATTTTTTTTATCGCAATTCGCCCTATTTGGATAGGGGCTCTAAGGCTATGCACGCACTGGTGACTTCTTCTCACAGTGACATATTGTTTCTATCACCCATTTTTTATGAAAGGCATCTAATTGTCGGATGCACATTGCATCGTAAGAATTACTCACAAAACGTCACGGTGAAATAAGTTATCAGTGAGCGCGTAGCCTTAATTTAAATGCAATTATATATTTTTTCAGAGACCCTAAATCATTTACTGGCAACTTTGCCATTGATGAGGATATTCTGCAACAAGCTGGCGTGACAGATTTATTACCATACGCTTGTGATCCAAGTAAGTATAAATATTATTTATGTATAAATTTCTATTAAAACAAAACTGTTATAAAGTCGAATTTTTTGTTTTCGTCAATGTATTCTAAATAGAAATTGTCGAAAAAAGCATAAAACTCCACTAACCCGAGAATGGGAATCGAACCCAATAGGGAATATGCGTCTGATTCAAAAAAAGGTTAAATATATTTTATTACAATATATTTTATTAAATATATTTTATTACAAGTAGTTTATTACAACAATTTTATTACAATAAACAAATATTTTTCAATATAAGTTCGTTTTCGTCTTGAAAATAATTATTAAAAAGTGCAAAATAAATGCGGTAACTTCAAAATATTTAAACGCCATGCTACTTGTCAGAGCGGATGTGACGAAAATGTACACGCAAAGGGATGTCGTTGTTACAAAAAGTTAACTTCGATGCAATAACATCAATGTATTATATCGCAAAATAAACAACTGATTACAATTTGAATGATGTTTTAGGTTTTTATTTTTATTTCACCAATTAAGTAAATTACATGATTTATTAAAAAAGTCTTTTATACTTTAAAAAATCGTTTAGTTGTTAATCGATTTAGGTAATTGAATAATAATCTTTCACTCAAAACCCATATTGATTTGAAATGTCATATCTCTAATTGTGTACTATGACGTCACGACGAGCGCGCCGAAAATTCCGGTGTTTAAACTGCTCGTAGCTATTACTTATTTTCATCAATTATTTATGTTACAAAATTTTAGTTTTTCGGTGCCGGGTATTTTTTACAGTTATATATCGATGTAAATTATCATATAGAACCATTTTCCAAAAATGTGCATATTCCCTATTACCTCAACCTTAATGGCTTAATTTTACATATAAATTATTAAAATTAATCATATGAGTGAGTACATATCATAACAGTCATCTAAAAGTCGCTAGACATTGAATTCTTGTTTCATGTTTTCTAGGCAAATATAATTAGAGTTATAGTTGTTTTGTTATCATTATATAACGTTTGGCATTCATAAGTAAACTCTGCGGTAGTTTTCGAAAGTAAAAAGAACAATTGAAAGTTTTAAAAACTAGATTCCATAGTTGGCACGATACTGATGTACTATCGTTTTAGTGCGAACTGTAATTTTCACAATACATATTATACTTTACTATTAACAAATTAAAGTTCTTAATGCTTAAAAAATCCACTTGGTCCCTGGCACCCTGAGATAGGATTCGAGCCCAGACCTTTTACAAACATTTTTACAAATATTAGTATTCTCGTCAATGTTCAGGTAATTCATCCAAACAGCCGAAAGAAATATTTTTACAAATATTTAAACCTCCGATAAAGATGAAAATTTGTAGTAATTATTATATTTTGTCAATTTCGCATTAAACAAGTGGAATTTTTAAGCATTTTTCATTAAGAATATTTTTATAAGATAAATCTGGTAGTTTTAGTTTATTCATTTAAGGGCCGTCCATTAATCACATGAGGCTCGAAAGGGGGTGGATGGATTCGTCAAAAATCACGAAATATCACATGGGGGGGGGGGGGTGATATATCACGTATATTTATTTTTTCCTCGACGCGCGATTATTAAACCGAAATGCGACGTCAAAATTTAAGATTTTTGTTTTTTTTTAATACACGTGATTTGGTTGAAGGAGGGAGGGGGTAGTCTTGAACCTCACCATGTATCACCAAGAATGAGGGGAGGGAGGGGGGGGGGGAATGTTGAAATAGACATCACGTGATTAATGCCCCTTATGATTATAAGCACTTTATGTTAGTACATGATACAAACCACACGTACTCAAACGCTTGTTACTGTAAATTCATTGTCTGACCTCGGTTACACATTTTAATATGATTAACATCTATCAAACTTCACAAACATAGCTACCATAATAGATTTAAGTTACCTTTAGGAAAGTAATTTTAAAATACACCGATATTTCTTAATAGTTCAGCACAATACTTAATTAGTAAGAAATAAGTACGAAAATACAATGACTCGGTCAACTTTGGCCTCAGAGAACGCAGATAATCTATTGATGGACGGTTTTCTCGACGATATCAAGTCAATGAGTGATCACCGCAAGCTGACCAGCACATTAGCGAGAGGTTACCATACCTCCGCAGCTAACTACAAAGAGGTTTGTCAGCGCACATTGTACAGAAATGATAGGCGATAACGTTGTCTCTCTTGTACCTTAATAACATAGGGTAAATACACATGTTATTGACACTGTGGTCCTTGGAGATTTCTATTAAAAAAATATATTTATGGGAATGTTAAATTTCAAAAATAAAATATTAGCTCGTCATCAAGCGATGCTTTAATATGTTTTTTTTTTTTTTATATTCATGAAGTTATTTTTATCGCTATTTATAATTTACTATTGACTCTACAGAACTTTGAAATTTATTATTATAGTTTCTCAGAATGGGTTTTGCCAAACCTCTGAGCAAATCGTTCTAAATCCTGCTAACCAAACCTAACCGAAAAAGTTTTTGATCAGTATAATTAAATTGGTAATATTAACTCCTAACATGGCAGTTTTTTTTATAATGTGTTTTGACGTTTAGTGAGTCTTTTTCGTCCCAGCCCCTTTTTCTTCATTAAGTGCCAGATATTTCGAAAAAAGATCTGCCAAAACCTATTTAGAGTGTCAATAGTTACGTATTTTACCCTATGTATTCTTTGACAGCCTAGTTAGTATCGCCAAAGAGTTATAACAATCTGCTGTCGTGAAACGTGCATAGCTGTTCTTCTATATTTACGTGGACTTAGTGGATAAGAAGGTGGAGGTTACAATATAAGTAAAATTGCCATTAAAGTCAAAAACATAACACTTTTCCCATTAATGAACATTAAATTAATAAGGTTTAAAAGACATTATTTTTGGTTGTGCTATTTCAAATTACCGGTTTTGTGTTTAGCATTAAAATTTAATATAGACTGCAATATGAGCAGGACAACAATTTGCAACAATCGATATTTTCGAGAGATGTCAATCTCTTGTCTCGTGTCCCACTTTAATATATTGGTTTCGGAAGACCCTAGCTTCTACATCTCTACTATATTCCCAAAATTAGTCAAAAATGTTAAGATTATATCGAAATTAAACCTTAATCAAGTATCCCATTGACCTAAGTACTAATCATAGGTCTAAATTCTACTCTTACCCAAACATGGTGTAACCTCACAATGTCCAAAGGACTTATGTTGAAATTATTTTGTCCACAGGTAACGTAAATAATTTATTACTAGACTTCTTTTTGGATCTGCCGGGCCAAACTGGGTTAGCAAACAAACTAGCAGGCGGACAAACAAAACAAAAGGTGGATCACAAATTAGTCTCATAGCTATGGTCGTTTCATGGACACTGATTGTATGCATGTTACAATATATTGCACGCAAATAACATTCTTATCCTTCACTAATTATGTTCTATATTTATGTGTATTTGAAACTAAGCCTCTATCTTAATGACATATATAATTATATTAAAATAATAATTAATATTATGAATATGGGCTTAATTATAAATATTTTATTATATTAGCCTTTTTACGTCCCCACTGCAGGGGCTCATGCCTTCCTTATGGATGGTTAAGCAGTATTGGCCATGACCCTCCACGCTGGCCCAATATGGATTGGAGGGTATTAACGACTACAAATTCAGTCGGGACCAACGGCTTAACGTGCCTTTCGAAGCACGAAGTAGCTCGAGATAATAATATTTTTTGGTCACCCATCCCGTGAGCAACCCTTGCGAAAGTTGCTTAACAACAACGATCGCGGGCCGCGGCGCTTATCCTCTACGCCACCGAGCTACTTAAGTATTGGAATTAATTACAATAACTATTGGATGTATAATATTACTTAATAATAATTGATAATGAAGTAAAATCGTTAATGTTCTAGTGGGATTTCGATAAAAAGTTATCGATAAAATTGTCTTTATACAATTAAAAAAAAATATATGTGTATGTTTAAATTAATGAATAAATCAATTGCAACTTAGGCCGAGTCAGCTCCACCAGCTGGCGACGGTCAGATTCCACAACTGTTCGCGTCAATCGGCAAGATCCTCTCAGCGGATCTGGTAAACAAGACTCAGGCTATCTATCAGTTCAACGTAAAGGGTAAGTGAATAATAAAAACATTGTTTGTTCAGTGTCATAATTATACGCAGCACTTCAGGCATCTCTGCAATCCATTTTAAACCTAACTGCCTGCGGGTCAAGGGATGAATGGAAAATGCCCTAAAAGTACAGGTTACGTATAGCTAAGTCGAGCTTGTTGCCTGTGAGACCAGGGGAGCGATTCCGTAAAAATTCGAAGAATTAGAATTGACTCATTTGGGGCCGTCCATAAATTACGTCACACAAAATTCATGATTTTTAACCTCCCCCCCCCTGTCACATGTTCTTCTATACAAATTCTATTAAATATTATTCTGTCACAGTTCGTCGACACCCCCCCCCCCCCCCTCCTAACGTGTGACGTAATTTATGGATGGCCCCTGTGTTCGAATTCACGTTATTCGGTGTAGAAATTCTATTGATATAATTTTTTGTATAAAAATACAAAACAAAATTGATTGATTATACTATTGGGCGATATCAGAAGTTGGGATGATGCATTGATTTAAACCAGTATTACTTGATAAATACTTTATTTCACACTAAATCGCCGTTCATTGGAGTTACATTTCTGCCATCTTTTATTCTATTGCCAACAATAAAAAAAACAATTCTGTCATAGTTTTTCGCAAGATGTCGTTTTCAATACAATGAATGTTCCAATTATTGAGTTTCTTACATTTAGGTTTGTAAATTATTGAATTCAGTTTGTTTGATCATGATTACCTTTTTTGAAATACATAGACATATAGTCGAACGACATTAGAAGTTACTTTTTATAATTAGTACCCTTTTGTAACATTGTGTACTTAATATCCTACTTTTAATACGCAGTGATCAATATTAATCCTTTATTTGTAACAATATTAATAAAATACAATAAGTAATAATAATCTGTACTGTTTACGAATACAAATACATGAATATGTGCGACCATGGAAATTACGTGTTTTAATACCTTGTAATATTTCGTACAATTACATTCTCAAGTATTTCTCGATTAAATAAAGTACCAAGTATAACATTAATAATAATAATAGGCTTATAATACGTGTCTCAGATATTCTATTCATGGTGGATATGCATTGATAATATGAAACGTTATTACCAATTCAATATTGAGCGGATATGGCTTTTTTTAAGTGATTTCGGAGACCTAAATGAATTCGAATTCGGGTTTGGGATTTTCAGAATCGCAGGGCTGGTCGGATAAGTAATAAGTAAGAAATATAAAGAGGGAGAGATTTCTTTGTTTGCATCTAATAGGCTTTATGACTACTTTCACATACGGGACGTTACATCATACGCCGTAAGCGCGGGTGAAATCAAAAAAATATTTTTTTTTCTTGTTTCACACTTGGTACATTTAACGAACATCCTTTTATAGCATAGCTTTGCTATTGTGTTAAAAATACAACATCTAACTCGGCATTGTCGCAGTATTAAAGGTTCGATCAAATAAAGCCGACTTCGTAAGGTAAGATTTTACTTGATTAAACTTCTAATCTGTGACAGCGCTGTGTTCGTCGCTACATTTGACCGTGTGTTTACGTAAATCGCATCTCAATAAAATATCAACGACTTGTATTTGCCATCGTAACTATCTTCCTATAGACTAATATTATTAGTGCAATGTCTTCCTTACACATCAATATCCTATTAATATTATAAATGTGAAAGTTTATTTGTTTGGATGTTTGTCGGTCAATCACGCCGAAACTACTGAACGGATTTTGATGAAATTTGGTATACAGATAGTGTATTAGTTGACTTAGATTTTATCCCACTAAACGTTTCCCTAGGGTCCACGCGGGCGATGCCGCTGGCGAAAGCCAGTATATAATAATATTGAACTTCGGGTTGATACTTTAATGGCAAAATGCAAGTGTATGAGATTCTATTATTTATTGTAATTAATTTAATATAATCGAATTCTATTCTTTATTTTATGCATGCAAAATATTATAAATTATTATGCAAACTTTATAATTGTCATGATAAGGCCTCAAAGATTTCGTGTACAATCTAGTTTATAAAAAAAAATAATTACTGTAAATTAAACTCAATTTGGTTGTGAACTGTATTGTATCCTAACTTAATAAAAAAATATCAAGTAAAAATAATATAATTCGCTTGCTGGATTGTTGAAGTATCACTGTGGGTAGCCACCCGTTGCACATACGAATTAATTTATAGCAGAGATCAAAGATATCCGGATGTTTTGGTATACTATACTTACTCATAAAGAAGATTTAAGCGTCCAACTTATTATTATTAGGATTCCGCACCGAAACGGTAAAACACAGGACCTTATTACTAAGACTCCGCTGGCCGCCTGTCATTAAACAAAATCTCATGAACCGTGATAGACAATTGAAATGTTTACAGCTGAAACATTTTGTTGCCGTTAAAAATAAATATTTAAAAGGGCTCCCATACAACAAAAGTGATTCTTTTTGCTCGTTTCCGGTACGGAACTCTTCGTACATGAGTCCTATTCGCACTTTGCTTTTTTATATTAATCGATTTCAAATCGAAAATGAAAGCGGGATCTTTCTATATGTGAATTACAATTGTGTGAAACAATCTGATTTTAGTTTATGTCTCAGGTAAAGAAGAAGGTATTTGGCACTTGGACCTGAAGAATGGCGATGGCGCGTGCGGTCAAGGGGAACCAAAAAACCCCCCTGATGCAACTCTCACTATGGACAGCAAAAACTTCACTGATATGTTTGCTGGTATGACAGATTATTTTAGTAATTTATATTTAAAAAAAAAAAACACCTTTTTTATCTACATTTATGATATGATGACGTTTCTAGAAATTATATCACTATCTCTATGTCAATTGAATATATTTTCCACCAACCAATTAATGGCCCCCACTGCTGGGGCTCATGCTTGCCCTATGGATAGAATCGAATAAGGACAAAAGGCCATGGCCCAATAGTTTTAGCTCGCTTTTTTGTATCATTTCAAAAGCTTCCATCTTTCTAATGTATGGAGTGTTAACAATCTATATAATTACCAAGAATGATAAGTTTATATAATTGTACTCAATAATACTATGATTTAATTTATAAAACACTCAATATTTCCTACAGGAAAGTTGAAGCCAGCTACAGCTTTCATGATGGGTAAACTCAAGATCAGTGGAGACCTCCAAAAAGCGATGAAACTCGAAAAGATGATGAAGTCGTTGAAAAACAAAGTGTAATATAGTTATATAAAATATTATTTGTGATGTTCATATTAATCTTACACACACTTGTCATAATACTCCATGACGATGCTACTAGATTATAAATAATATCATTTATAGCCTGTGTAATAATGTAAGTAAATATCAAAGCTATTTTTGTACAGCATTGTATTGTAACAGTAATTCAAATGTTGTAGTTAATTTAAAAGGAATAATAGGTACTAAAAAGTGTATTACTAATAAAAAAACTTATGACAAAAAGTAGGAAACTGTATTATTTTTCAATGTTTCAAATATGTTGTATATTGTGTTTTAATTTTGAAAACCTAAAATATTTTTCTGTAAATAAAAGATTTATATGTTTGTTTATTGTTTTATTTATGTGATAGTCTATGGTACTATAAAGTCAACTGCACGTCAGACTATCCAAAACTATGAATTTTCGTCATTAAAGTTTAAACCTTAACTGATTGTGTTTATTTGGTTTGAGATCCTCGCAAGTTTCGTCATTCTTACAATTAATTATCGAAATCGTGGTACATTTGCTTTGTTTATATTACATCACCATCAGCAGAAACTTCAATCATATCTCCAGTTAAAAAATTAACCAAAGTATATGTTATAGGTAATTTTAATTACTTTAATGATAGAATTAAGAATGAAATAATTTCATTCATTCAATATTATTTAGTAATGAACCTTCGATCTACTTAACTTTCATAAGCAATACGACAACTGTTTCGTCAGTCGATATTTGTAAAGATAACCTTGTTATCAATTCAATTCTCCCGCGTAACATAACAGACCTTGAATAGGTTATTTCGCTTATATGTCAGTCTGATTTCTATAGGTTAGCGGTGTAGAAGTGCTCTATTTTAAGGCATAAATAAATTATAATTGAATTAGGAATTCACCGATAGTAAAATGTCCTCAATTGACGCACCAGTAGAAATACAAAATTCTGAATATTGTAACTATCGTTCTCCGTTAAGCACAAGATATGCATCCAAGGAAATGCAGTACAATTTTAGTGATCAAAAGAAGTTTTCTACTTGGAGAAAACTATGGATCTACCTAGCTAAAGCTGAAAAGGTTAGTAAATTTTCATTTTTTAAACCAAAAGTGGTCAAGGAAACGTTATAAAATGTATTAGCGTTAATTACCAATAATAGAAAAGAAAATATGTGAAAAATTTAAATGACAGTAGTTTCGTCCATGGTACAGGCGAAGGAACTAAGCCATACAGCCAAATCTTAGGTTGTTTTGGTGTTCAAATAGTTTACGTTCTTATTATTATATTAAATTAACAGCAATGGGATCTATTCAAACAGCCAGACTTGAGTGTTTTCCATCTTTTTAAACCCCGACGCAAAAAGAGGGGTGTTATTATTATGACGTATCTTTGTGTGTGTCTGTCTGGGGGATCACAGCTCCCAAGCGGCTGAAGATATCAATTTTTTTTTTTATTAAAGATGACTTATGTGCGAGTGTTCTGAGCTATGATTGTTAAAAATCGTTTGAGCTGTTTAAAAGTTTTGGGAGCTGAAAGTGAGGAAGAATAACCGAATGTCTGCAAAGATACTCTAGTGAGGTCTAAAATGAAAGCGCACTGAAAGAGAATATTGATGACTAAGTATTGATGAGTGTTAGTTAATGAAAGCGCACTGAAAGAAAATATTAATGAGTGTTCTTAGCTTCGATTGATGAGAAAATTATTATATTAAAGAGTTGAAGACTAATGTAAACATTAGTCTTCACAGAGTAAGCTCACAGGTTATAGAAACAAAAACTAGTAATTAATAAATAAAATTAAAGCGAAAAAGTTTAACCTAAAATTTGAAGTTTCGACGAGTATCTACATTATAATAATTATGTATCTATAAAAAGTATAAAATAATCCCCTACACAAAAAGATAAGTTCCATTTAAAAAGTAAAAATAAACTCAATTTTAAAGTACCTATAAATATGTATTAATAATAATAATGTTGGGCGACCGCTTCAAACCTTACAATTTAATACGTCCCCCAGCGCAACGTTTTTTTTGGAATTACTAAAACACATTTAGATACTTTAAGATTGAGTTTCTTTTATTATTTTTTACTTTATAAAGGGAACTTAGGTTTTTGTATCGGGGTTTTTTTTTATTTAGTTGGTAGTCAACATTTCATTGCTTTTTTTAATATAGGGAATATTTAACTTCTTAGTAGGGATATGAGAATTGCGGATTATAATTGTAGTATCTACATCCTTAGATAATAAATCATTCAATTAAGGTCCTTCCACTTTCACATTATAATATGCTTAAATAATATGGTACCTTCCAAGGTATGTCCGAACAACTACTGTTCAAGCTCTAAATAAAAAAGATAAATAAATGTATTTAAAATAAAACAATAAATATACGAGTAGTTAAAACATTAAACATAATTTAAAGTAAAAAGTATATGTTATATAATTACATATTATCATTAGTTACAATTTGGAATAATAGATGGCGCTTACCATTTGTGAATCGCGGTATGATTTTATTTTCACACAATTCATATATACGATTGTTATTCCAAATATAAGGCTTTTGCCCGTGTACGTAAATAAATACTATAGCTAAACTTAAGTCTCTTATTGAACCCTCACTCTAGACCTCGACTTTGTTCATGGTCCTTAGAGTCGGTTTTGGCTTAAAGAAAGTGCTTTTTTTGGTAGTCTACGAAAGTGGTGATTACCACCCGTTACGTTAGTACTGAGCAGTGGATCGCTGCTCAGAGCAATCCCTACAGCGAGACGTCATCAGCTGCAGCGGCGTGACGTCACGGACGTGGAGGATCCAGTCAGCTGGTACCGGTCAACTGGAGGAACGAGCGGGAGGAGCCCGACAGAGGGCGCTGGTGGAGTTTATCGGCGAGTATCAATGTGTCAGTGAATGTGCAGTGTAATTGTGAGTACATTTTCAACCTTATTTCAAGTAGAAGATTAACTTTGAAAATATAATAGAAGAATTTAGACTTGTGATAGTTTTAAGCAATTATTGGTTGAGACGGGGAACCTATGCCGGATTTCAGCCAGAATACTAAGTGCAAAACACTTGTAAAATTTTCGTGATTGAACTTGGACTTAGAAAACTGAGGATTTTTGTATAGCAGAAAGTAGTGAAGATTTTAATTGAAGATTAAAGTTAAATTTTATTTATGCTGATTTGATTGTTGTTGGCTATATTATTAGATTATATTGTTATTTAATTGTCACTTATATAAAAAAATAATAAACATGGAATCTTTCAATGAACTTCAGTTTGATATTAAAACGAAATTAGAAAAGGCTAGAATAAATTATAAGAAATGTTCTAAAGATCGCTTAACAGTATCGTATATAGAAGCTCGTTTAGAAAATATAGAACAACAGTGGCAGTTATTTTATAATACGCATGTTAAAATAATAAGTGAAGTTAAGAAGTCAGAATTATTAGAGTCTACTTACTTTAAAAACAATGTATATGATGAAGTAGAGGAATTTTTTATTAACTTTAAATCTGAATTGAAAGAAAATTTATCGAAATTAAAATTGTCATCTAGTACAGTGTCGGTTCCAAGTACTTCGAACAGTAGTCGCATGGAAGGAAGTATTGTAAAATTGCCAGAAATAAAGATTCCAATGTTTTCCGGCAAATATATCGAGTGGCAAACGTTCCGAGATTTATTTGTCGGATTAGTTCATAAAAATAAGTTGTTAGACGATGCACAAAGGTTGTATTATCTTAAGGGTCATTTGACAGGTGAGGCCGAGCAACTTTTAAGGAATATAAATGTTACATCAGAAAATTATAAATGTTGTTGGGATAAGTTAGAGTCGATGTACAATAATAAAAAGTTTTTGGCGAACGGAATTTTAAAGCGTTTATTAAATCAAAAAAGTTTGACCTTTGAATCAGCTCATGAAATTAAAAAATTGGTCAATACTACAACCGATTGTTTGGAGTCTATTAAAAACTTAGGCATAGATGTTTCTTCTTGGGATATTCTTGTAATACATTTGATAAGTGCAAAATTAGATAGAGAAACTCGAAAGGCATGGGAACTGAACGTGTCATCAGATTCAACTGATAATCTGCCTACTTATACACAGTTTACGGATTTCTTAATCGGTCGTTTTAGAGGTTTAGAAAATTTAGATAACAGAAATACTAATGTTACTGATAAAAGTCATCGATCTACACACTCATTTTATGTACAAAATCAGAAAAAAGAATTATGTTGTCCGTATTGTTGCTCGGATCATAAAATTTATATGTGTAAAAAGTTTGTAAAAGAAACTAGTGATACTCGTCGTGATTTTGCTCAGAAAAATGGGGTTTGTTTTGTATGCATGGGAAATAATCACTCTGCAAAAAATTGTAAAAGCACTTTTAAATGTCAAATTTGTAAGCGGCGACATCATACTTTGCTGCATCCCAATGGTGGTTCTGGGTCTTCAGGTGAGGGTACAGTCTCAAATGACACGGCCTCAACTTCGGAGAAAGTTATAGAGACTAACGGTTCAGCTGGAGAGTGCTCTGGTGTTAAGACCATCAAGAAGACGGAGGTGTCTGATAAGGTGATCACATCTTGTCTTTCGACAGGTTACAGTAAAAATACAGTGTTATTAACCACAGCTTTAGTGAAGGTTAAGTCGAAAGATGGGACATTTAAAGAGGTTCGCGCCTTGTTAGACCAAGGATCTCAAGGATCCTTTATTACTGAAGCAATGGTTCAATTTTTAGGACTAAATAAAAAGTCCTCTAGAAACACTGTAAAAGGTGTAGGTGGCCAGAAATGTTTATTATCTAAGTGTACAGTTTCAATGAATATACAATCTAGATCAGATTCAAAATTTAATATAGATGTAAATGCATATGTTTTAAAGAGTATTACATCTCTTCTTCCAACGGTAAAAACTTGTCGCGTAGAATGGGGAGCATTAAATAAAGCAGATTTAGCAGATCCAGAATATTACCGACCTAACAAAATTGACATTTTGTTAGGTGCCGAGGTGTACAGTCAAATAATTAAAGGCGGTATTGAACGTAGTGATATGCTCTTAGCGCAGGACACAACATTTGGTTGGATAATATCGGGTGTTATCAATTCCGATTGTTCAATCAGCGAAGAGCAGTTAAGCGGCATTACGGTGATGCATGCAAGTATCCAAACCGAAGATCTTCTTAAACGGTTCTGGGAGCTGGAGGCTGAACCGACTGGATCTGAAAAGATGTTAAGTAAAGAAGAGAAGTTATGTGAACAGTTTTTTGTTGAGACATTTACTAGAAATGAAACTGGTCGTTATGTAGTGCGTCTTCCGTTCCGGGATGATAAACGTAGTTGTCAATATGGCGAGTCCTTATTAATAGCTAAAAAAAGGTTTCAAGGGTTAGAATATAAATTAATGAGAAACCTCAAATTAAAAGAAGAGTATAGAAAGGTAATACATGAATATTTAAAATTGAAACATATGACAAAAGTGCCTAAAGAAGAAACAAATAAAGGTTTGTACTTACCTCACCATGCGGTTATCCGTGATGACAAGACGACTACTAAAGTACGCGTGGTTTTCGATGCATCTTGCAAGGGGAAAAATGGAGTATCATTAAATGATAACCTTATGGTAGGTCCCAGTTTGCAGGCAGATCTGCGACATATAGTTATGCGGTGGAGGCGTCATCCTATCTGCATAGTTGCGGATATTATTAAGATGTATCGGCAGGTACTAGTTGATAGAAAAGATACGATGTTTCAACGTATTGTTTGGAGGGATAGCCCTGAAAATGAAATGGAAGAATTTGAACTAGTAACGGTTACATTTGGAACTGCATCGGCACCATTTTTAGCAGTTCGTGTGTTGCATCAAGTCGCCCACGACGAAGGTCAGGAGTTTCCAGTTGCGAAGCAAATAATCTTGAACGACTTTTACATGGATGATTTGATGACAGGATCTGAAAATATAGAAGAAGGTTATAAAATTTACAAGGAAATTAGTAGTATATTAGAAAAGGGTGGATTTATTTTACAGAAATGGAAAAGCAATAGTCAGGAATTGTTACGTAAAATTACAAAAAGTACTACTAAGAAGAACGAAGATATTATAATAAAATTAGATGATGTTACTAAGATTTTGGGTCTTACCTGGGATCCAAGCTCCGACGTTTTTAAGTACTCCGTTGAAATAACTGCTCTAGATAAACCTGTGACAAAAAGAAAAATGTTATCAGAAATAAGTAAATTATTTGATCCTTTGGGTTGGTTAGCGCCCAGTATTATTTTAGCCAAAATACTGATCCAAAAATTATGGCTTGCAGGTATTAGTTGGGATCAAGAAGTTCCAAGCAATTTATTAAATGAATGGATCACTTACCGTGATGACTTAAATGCATTAGCTGGAATTAAAATACCACGCTGGATGTTTACAAAATCTAACGATGTAAAGGTTGAGTTGCACGGTTTTTCAGATGCATCCAAATTAGCTTATGCAGCAGTGGTATATGTCAGAGTAATAAATGCTGAAGGTCATATAAAAGTAGCATTGGTTACATCGAAAACAAAAGTTTCACCCATTAAACAGGTATCGATACCCAGACTGGAACTCTGTGGGGCTGTGCTTTTGACAAAACTGTTGATAGAAGTCGCAAAAGTTTTGAATATTCCAAAAGTTGATCTTCACGCCTGGACAGATTCCGAAATAGTACTCGCCTGGCTAAATAGTCATCCCAGTCGTTGGAAGACGTTTGTAGCGAATAGGGTTTCGGATATACTAATACATTTAGATAACCAATGTTGGTCATATGTGGCATCTAAAGAAAACCCTGCGGATTACGCTTCACGGGGAGTAGCCCCAAGAGAACTAACTGCTACATCTGTTTGGTTCGATGGACCCGAATTTCTAAAGAAATTATCGATAGATTATAAAAGACCTGTAAACAAACGCACAAACTTAGAAGAAATAAAAACACTTACCTGCATTAAAATTGATAGTGAATATTTTTTGCGCAAATATTCGTCACTTTACAAAATGGTTAGGATAGTAGCTTATTGCAGGAGATTTTTAAATCTCAGGAATAAAAATTATAAGAAAAACTGCACTACTTATGTATCAGCTGATGAAATACAGGAATCATTAGAAGTTTGTATAAAGATATCACAAAAAGAAGATTTTGCCGAAGAAATTACAATCCTGGAAGAGAATAAAACAGTAATTTGTAAAAAATTTAAGTCCCTAAATTTATTTCTGGACTCAAAAGGAATTTTGAGAGTGGGGGGAAGGTTAGCAGAAGCGCCTTTGGAATATGGCAGGAAACATCCAATCCTTTTGTCAAGGTCTTCTTTCCTTACCAAACTATTGATTGCAGACTCACACGATCAAACTATGCATGGTGGTCCACAAGCCATGGTTGCTTACTTAAGAACCAACTACTGGATCATCGGAGTTAAGGTAGCTGTAAGGTCTTATTTTCGGAAATGTGTTGTCTGTATTAGATATTCCGCGAAAACAACACAACAATTAATGGGCCAATTACCTTCATCACGCGTAACACCTAGCAAACCATTCCTTCGCACCGGTGTTGATTATGCTGGTCCAATCAACATTCGAATGTCGAAAGGCCGGGGTAATAAATCATACAAGGGCTACATAGCCTTGTTTATTTGTATGTCCACGCGCGCTATTCATTTAGAGGTCGTTAGTGACCTGTCTAGTAAGGGTTTTTTGGCTGCATACCGAAGATTTGTGGCGAGGCGTGGTCGCTGTGCTGAGTTACACAGTGACAACGGTACAAATTTTGTTGGTGCTGCTCGTGAATTACGACAACTATTCGATGAAGCAAAATCGAAATTTGTACCCGAGTTGGCGGAGTACCTTGCTAATAACGGTACTAAATGGAGTTTCATCCCCCCGCATGCCCCAAACTTTGGAGGGCTCTGGGAAGCGGGCATCAAATCTACTAAGTACCACCTCCGAAGAGTGGTAGGTAATTCTACTTAAACGTACGAAGAGTTAGCTACAGTCTTGGCACAGATTGAGGCTTGCCTCAATTCTAGACCTCTTTCATACACAAACTCAGACGACGAAGTTTTAACACCGGCTCACTTTCTGGTAGGCGAGCCGTTGGTTATGGTTCCTGAAACAAACTTCGAGAAATCTCAAATAACAACTTTGCGACGGTGGCAGCTATCACAAAGAATAGTACAGGATTTTTGGCGTCGTTGGTCTGGAGATTATTTGAACCAATTTTTACAACGACACAAGTGGAGTCATCAGGTGCCAGAGCCAGCCATTGGTGATGTAGTATTAATTAAAGAGGATGACATGCCTCCTGGTAAATGGTTATTGGGAAAGATTGAAAACAAACATCCTGGACCTGACGGAATTACACGAGTAATCACCATCCGTACGAAAAATTCGATTATTAAAAGAGCTGTATCTAAAGTTTGTGTATTAGTTAAGAATTAGTTAAGAATTAGTTATGTTTTCGTATTAGTTATTGTTATTAGTTAAGTTTTCATTTGTTCCAGTTTGCTGTACTATTTACCTTATAAAGTTTTTTTTTGTAATTACTTTTCTTAAGGACACTAGCAAGATGTCTTTGGCCGGTGGTATGTCTAAATTTATGTTTATGTTATAGAATATTTATAAGTTATTTTATTTTACATTACCCTAATTTAAGGACATTTAGCAATATGTCCTTGGTGGGCAGAATGTTCAAGCTCTAAATAAAAAAGATAAATAAATGTATTTAAAATAAAACAATAAATATACGAGTAGTTAAAACATTAAACATAATTTAAAGTAAAAAGTATATGTTATATAATTACATATTATCATTAGTTACAATTTGGAATAATAGATGGCGCTTACCATTTGTGAATCGCGGTATGATTTTATTTTCACACAATTCATATATACGATTGTTATTCCAAATATAAGGCTTTTGCCCGTGTACGTAAATAAATACTATAGCTAAACTTAAGTCTCTTATTGAACCCTCACTCTAGACCTCGACTTTGTTCAACTACAACGTGGCTCTATTAATTTTTACACTGACATATATTTCATGTCAAATTTTAAATGAAACTATTTGGCTTTTATTTATTTATTTATTTTAATAAACATTGGATACATATTTTATAATACAATCTTTTCTTATTTTAATTAAAAAATGTGGTGACGCGGGTACCTTTTATATTTATCGTGTTATTATTTAATTATTGTGTGAAGAGCGAATATTAAGGTAACATTAGCGCCATATTGTTCGCTGTTACGCGTTATTATTTATACTTACGCACCTAAACGTTTAATATAATTATTTTATATTATTATTTACTTAATAAAGATTATAAAATGAATCTCCTAAAAACAAAACAATAAATAATTACATAATTTGCTTTTACATAACATTGTTGATTAATAAGCAAAATTTATGTTTTTTTTTTCTTAAAAACTAACACAAATTAATACATCCTTGACTAAAATATGATAATGATAAAAATATACTTAAGCATTTTAAGATATTAATAATAGCACTTACTAAACAAGCATGTTACTTAAAAATAATATTTAGATAAGAGTTATTAAATTATTAGTAAAGAAATGTAATTATTAATTCAATATAATCGTTTCAATTTTAAATCACGTAATTTAATAGATATTCTACAGCTTTATTTTTAATTTAGCTGCCTACGGAATCAAATTAAGGCCTTCCTTAACTTTGTGACGTAAATAATTAAAAGTTACAGATTGCAGTTCTCCATGAGCCATGAAAATAAAATAAACTGCAAACATTGTGAGTAAATTATCTATCGCGTATTCATAACATAGCATAGAAGGTTAATTCTCCTAATATAATATAAGCAGAATTGCTCTATTGTTCATAGTTTTATTGTATCAGTAAGATAGCGTGAAGATTTCGTCCACATTCTGCGTGCTGAACCCATAGATCAGTGTTAATAAATACGCCTAATAAGTGTGTATTTATTAACATTACATCACTTTATAAAACTCATGTTAAGACCTCTTTAATAAGATTTACACATCTTGTAGTCAGAAAACGAAAAAAAAATAGTATATTTAATCACGTCGTCACACAACCATAGATAAAAATTAGAAGACAAAGTAAACAGGAATAGAGGAGTAACATTTCAACTTAACTACAACTGGACGGATACTGATTACTGCTTTGGTTCACCCTTTTTAATTAAAACTTTATATTTATTAACATATAACAACATATTAAACTAATAGTTAATTTAATTAACAAAATACTTATTATAAACGCAAGGACAGATAGGTATATTTAAAAGAGATCTCGAATTAAGAACAGCGAAGTCCAAATTGTCTGTATCATATCATGTTTACCTCGTAAATTCATGCTATTTTTAAATCTAAATTTTATGTGAAAAGTCAATTGAATAATAAAATGTCCATTGCTTTCTAAATAAGACATTATAATCGTAGAAAATAAACTTATAAAGTCACATATGACTCCTAATTCCTGACGGTGGTATTGTTTCGTAATATCAAATACATACATAATATCAAACAATCAAAAACCTTACCGAAAATTCTTTAGAGCTCAAGATTAGCGGCATCTACTAAAGCCTTTTCTCAATTATTTACTATGCCTCTCGCAATTAGAAATGTCTGTTATTAAAATTATTGTCAATGTTACACAATGAAACTATTTTTGTAGATTTGTTTCAGCGGAATGTTCCAGTAATTAAAAGATAACTTAAATAATAGGTTCGATTTTGACACGCCGCTGTCTTTATTCTCATTGTAATAGAAAAAGGTGGCATGATAGAAGGTTTCACCGCCAAAATCGTGACATAATATTGCAAAAAAAAAATATTTGCACAAAATGAGACACATAGTAAGCTCACAGGAAAGAGCCTAATAAATTCCAATTAAATTGGTTTACTTACAATCGACAACAGTTAAATAAATAAAGATACACATCTTATATAAATCGCTTATACTTTAACCATTTCACATACTAATTTCCGTACATATATAACTTCTACTTCTATATTTAATTTTCTTACGAAAATTAACCTAAATTCCTAAAAAAGGTTCCTCTTACAATTTTTACTTGCACTATCGGCCACAAATAACCTACAGAAAAATAAAGCTGCCTGTCTAAACAAAATACTTTTGGTAATCGGAGCTGCAGTTTATATTATAATTACAGGAAAGGCGAATACGACTATGACCGTTGGTCAAAGTAATACATCTTAATATGGACATGACTTTGACATCAGAGTTTTTATTTAAACAAAATCGAAGTAGTTCACCTATTCAAAGGAAATTATGTTAACAATTTTTATTACTTTATACTAATAAATTTATATTCAAATTCAAGGATCGCAGCCATATCCATATTAAAACAACATATTCTAATTAAAAATAGCAGTACCTGCTACTCTATCGCTGCCAATGACTTAATTATATATTAAAATTGTAAAAAGCTGCCTTCTCCTAATACTGTATAGCTGCCTCAAGCCAAATAAATGTACTAATTTAAATCATATATTTTTTTGTAGCTGCAGCAGAGGGCAGAAGTATACAAAAAAGTAGCATTAAAATTATGAAATCGGTATGGGTATTAAGTTTAATTAATAGCTGCAGCATTGGGGCAACAAATTGGGGGCTTTGATATTAAACATTAGTTAATTTTTTTATTGCATTAAATTAATTTAGACGTAACTGCATCACGGGCAACGGTAATGTAATAAAAAAATACAGAGGCTATTCAACGGGTACCATACAATACTTACCAATATTTACACAAAATAACTTATTATTTAACAAAATTAACTTAAAACTATCTTACTTTACTGTTATAGTCTTAATAATACTTCGAAGTACAAAATAAATTGTGAAATTAACGAATAGATATAAGAAGAAAAAAGAAATCGTATTATTCAAATGTCTTCAGTTCAAATGTTTTTTTTTTCATCGTATAGATATTATACCTTTTTAGAACGCATGTGAGTCGGTCGAAAAGATTTTTTTTTTAATATTAATCAATATTGAAATAATGTTTTAAGAAAGAAGTAAGATTTAATAGTCCGCCTCCTTTCTGAACGTGAAGAAAGCGTGTACCAGAAATACGACTGCGTTTATAATTCCGAAAACTCCTGAGGCGATGAGGAGATCGTATGCCTGTTTATTGGGACGCTGGTTGGCGTAGTAGGATCTGTGCCAATCTGTAAAAAAAAATAAAAGACACCAATTACAATACTGCGAAAGCCCGTTTTCAGTTATATCTTTGAAAAATTAGATACTTAAATGTAAAATAAAACTATTATAAAGTTTTTTAATCTCAACTGTCAATCCAATTAGCTTAATAGATTATATCTTATCGAAACAGCTAAAATCTTGGAAATGAAACGAAAGCGAGTACATTATTATTCATGAAAGTTATGTAAAGAATGGCATTAATTATCCAAAACTTATTCAAAAAGCAGATATCTATAGAACTTTCCAATCTACGCGTCAATTTAAAAATAAAAATTAAGATACTTTATTATTGTTATTTGGTCGAGTTCTTTTTTAGGGTTCCGCACCCAAAAGGTAAACACAGGACCCTATTACTAAGACTGGCGCTCCCCATATCTGTCACCAGGCTAGCTGTTTCTCAAGAATGACAGCTATTTCTCGAGAACTATGATTGCTAGATAGTTGAAAGTAAAAACAAAATAAAATAAATATTTAGGGGGGTTCCAATACAAACATGCTTTTTCCGTTCTCTTTTAGATAATTGTACGCACCCCTACGTGCTTGAACCGACTCGTTCTTAGCCGGTATTTAAACTAGCCCACTATATAACTGTATTGTAAATTTGTAATTCAATACTGCATCTGGTTTAGAAACGAAAGGAAGTTATAACACCAATCTCCAAGGACCAACACTTCGGTTCTAATTGATTCTAAAGAAGGTAACGCCTTAAACGGCAATGTGGACTCCGAAGCGCAAATAGCATATTAATGAGTGATAATCATAACAAACGAATATTACCGCGTAGTTTTATGTTACACTAGCTGTTTTCCCGCGATTTCGCGCGCTTTAATTATAGCTTATATCAACTGCGCATAATTAAGCTTGCCATAGATGAAAGATTTTTTTAAATAGATCCAGTAGTTTATTTATATAATATATATAATATATATAATATGTATATAATATATAGGATATATTATATCCTCAAGTATTTGCTGATTGCATTTCGATTTCACTGTTTAAATGAAAACATAATTATGTAAATTACTTAACACAGTTTTTTTAGGTAACCAAAATTAATAATAAACTTGCGCAAATTGGAATTCATTCAATTTAAATAGGTAATAATTATTGTATGTCGAAATTTTTTTTCAAATTCACGTCCAGTTATGATTTAGAAGTGTCAATTTAGTTTTTAATGAGATATAGTTTATTTACCACAGAATATTTAAAAACCGAGTATATTAAGTAGTACCATAAGACAGACGTAAGTAATCATTGAGTACGATACTCATACACACGGAAAACACAATTGAAAATATTGAGGTGATCTTATGGAATGTCGTTTACTACGCAGGTAGTACTATTTGTGCACGAGGTACCTAATTATAAAACAACCTTCGTCTTAGTTAAATAATTGTGACGTACAATTTACGAATTACTGTAAATTCCTTCCTCCGACAACGTAAAGATATAATACTTTATCTGCAAATAAATTATAGTGGTTTCCATCTGTGTTTGCGGGCAACTTTTGCTAAGGCAGCTCCAGGATGTGACCGAAAATGTTTATTGCATGTCATGTTATCAAGGTGGGCAAAATAAGCGGTCTGTGATGGCCGCATATGCCGTTAACTCTATGTCCTAATTTTCCTTTGATTATTTCCTCAAGGAAGGCTTATGCCTAAGTAGCCTGGACAGTAAGAGGCAGATGGTCAGTTATTATACTCGATGCCCTAAGGCCACAATCCACAAGTAAACGAAAACTAGTGTTGAATTCAAAAAAGTGCTTGGGATTTTTATTTTATTTTTTATTGCCCCCTCCGCCCCTCCCCAAGACGTGATACCCAAAGGAATTGCATTTGGGTTAATGCGGCACTATTAATGGCGTTAAATCATCAATGAAATCAACCTATTCATAAATAGAAGACTAAGTAACTAACACAAGGAAACGAATCAAGGTCTATGTTAAAGGGCCTTTGTCAGTTTTTTGTTTCTACTTCGTGTGACAACACTTGAACGTTCCCGTGAGAATTGTATTCAATTTAAGTTGTTATGATATATGTCGCATCATCATTACGAAGATCGTTTGATTTAGTTTATTTTATTTTAATTGCTAGTTACTCGATTACTTAATTACTCGATTGTAAAGAGAGCGTGATCATCGATACCCTTAATTTTATTAGAATGGTGACACTGACTTTGACAGTTCGTTAATATTAAGCAAGTTGCCGTCATTTTGGCAAACATTCTGTTTCCGATCGCCGAGGAGTAAAGACATCCGACGAGATCACGCTCATCTCGTTATATTTTCGTATGAAAAGTGATAAAATGTAACAAATCCACGTTGGTATACACGCCTGCAGTGTTATTTTAAAGATAGTCCTCCGTTATGGACTACCTATTTGGGCTTCGTAATAGCACCTTCGGACTACCCGCCGTTATATATATATTAGAAGAAGACCTTTACGTTGATTGTCATTCGATCAAATAATTCCATGTAAAATACATTATTTCTATTATCATTATAATCCCCTATTAATTCCCCACTGTTGGAGCTCAGGCCCTTCTTATAGATGGAATAGAATCAAATAGAAATGGCGAGAATGAGACATAACCTATCACGCGGGTCCAGTGCATTATTGCGCGTTAAAGACTGCAGATGCAGCTGCGGCCAACGGCTTAACGGCTTTGAGATAGTAATTTTTGGTCACCCATCCTATGGCCTTTGCGAGAGTTGCTTAACAAACGTATCGCAAACCGAGTGAGCTTACCACTGCGGTATTGAGCTCCTCATGGTTAAGATTTCTGTAGTGATGATGAAATACTGCCTATTTATCGCGAAATTACACTTGGTCATTTATCCGAATTCGTTGAGTTTTGAAAACTACGAAAATAAACAAAAATGCGTCGTAAGGTTTATTCAAATCAAGAACTTATTCTACCAAGTCTAATAATAATTACGGTGAAGTGAAATAAACTCATCCGATTATTGGATTTATTATTGTTGGATTTTAATTCAGGACTCCATAACTGTTGTTAACACGTACTCCATTTAGATAAACATAGATATTATAGAAGCAACAAGTGCAGACAAATGAGCGAATGTAATCATATCGAGATTCTAGTCAAAGTTTTTAAATTAATATAAGAAAAAATGCTAGCAATGCGTTTTATAGCACAAATAGAAAACATACCATAGAAAATGACAGCAGCCGCGGCAGTGAACATGATGGCACCGATGACAGAGAAACCAATGTTAGTTCTCCATCCAGCTGTCTCGCCAAGAAGCCGGGCAATGATGAGAACGCCCGTGATGATGATAAAGCCTGTAGTAATTGAATTGTTGGATAAATAAACATCAAAGATATCAATGTTGGTAAAGTTGCATTCTGAAGGAAACAATTTGGAAGTGGACAATCATAAAACATTGAATAAGGATCGTCTTTCTCGCACCTCGTTTCCCGCATCTTGCCTATCATTAAAAGAGAAATAATATAAAATTGCGCATAAATATTTTACTTCACTAATATATTAGTTACTCGCTAAATATGAATAGATAATATAAAATCTCGTGTCAGTCCTTGGTTGTTAAAATATGACACATGTTTATCAGTATTCAACCATGCTGTTTTTAAAAGCTCAAGTGATCAAAGACCAAGTATAATATGTGTTCATTGCAGTTCTGCGATCGACTGAACGATAAGAAGATTGAACTGTAAAATACATAGACGTATTATGATTGAATTTTTTAGATGAAGATTTCAAACAGAAACAGTCAGAAGGCGACACTGAATTATAAAACAAAAAAACTATAAAATCGTTAAGATGTCTGACTGTGGCTAGAGATACCTTTTATGCGGCCGCTTTCAACAAACTATCAAGGATTTATCAAAGTGATTTGCAAATAAAATTCCTGAAGAGTGTTAACATCGAAAACTTCAATCAACAGTGACATTTAAAGGAATCGTCATAGTGTTGCGTAAAACTCAAACAGAACAATAATATTTACATTGACACTTTCACGCAGTTCGATGAAACCAATTTTCCAGTTAATGAAGAAGTGAAACTGATTACAAAATTAATATTGCGCAGTGGCCATGACTTCGACCGATACATTATGGAGTCTATTATGAATATTAAGCTCAGGGCTATGTAATAAGAGGGGAGATGTAATTAGTAACTCTATGAGAGCGCATTAAATTAATATTCAAATGTAATTGCATAAGTCTTGAAACATTCAAGGGACTTAATTAGTGATTTCAGAGTATATTTTTCAGGTTTCATTCGCAATGCATATGTTTTTCATTCGGAATTATCAGCTTTTTGATTATAGTATTATAGTCACTGGTTTAAACAGAGATTCGGATAACAAAGTTACTTATACATTACTGTGATTTAAATTAAATGGTCTCTGTTTAATCATTATAAGCAAAAAGTTCGTTTTATAAAATACTAGCTTTCCGCCATCGGCTTCGCCCGCGTGGTCTTGTATTATACATAAAAACCTTCTTTTTGAATCAGCCTATCTATGAAAAAACGCATCAAAATCCGCTGCGTAGTTTTGAAGATTAAGCATATATATGGATATAGGGACAGAGAAAGCGACTTTGTTTTATACTATGTAGTAATTTTCTGAATTCTGATTCTGAACGGTACTAGCCATTTGAGGTAACGAACGCCTCCAATCTTCACTGATGGCAGTTGGTTGGAATTGTATATTTCTATATAATTATAACAATACGTTACGCCCGTTTGCCTTTAGACTCTTGGTTAATCATGCAGATAATTTTGTAGTGGTAAAAAAAGACTAAAGGCGTAGTTTATTCACGGCCACGCTAGAAGTATATGCTGTGATTCTACTATGAATAAGTTTCCATTATTTGGTCGTTTAGTCATTTCAAACTCAAGAGATGAACTAGATTTTCCATTATCATCTCTAAAATACCATAACTGAAAACCTTATCAGTTCCGTAAATGTCGAAAATTGGATTTTCTATCATTTCGTGTTTGTTAAAACGAAGAGTTGTTAAAATAGCTCTTGTTATATCTATGACTTTGATATGAAGTCTATATTTTTTATCCTATGAGCGGTTTATTTTATGTGAAACATTGCAAAATAATGTAAAGCTCAATTGTGAAATGGGATTTGTAAAATTCGATCGGCACAAATGGTCGTTGTTAAATTGAAAGATTAGCAGAAAATTTACTGTGGCCATTGGGTCACGGCTGCCCGATTGTTTTAACAAGGTACCATGGGTTTTGTAAAACATTTAAACAATTTACGCAATGCACTGGCGATACTTTGGTCTAATGTTTATTATTTCGAAAACAATTGTTTTATTTCATGATATTGTCGCTTTGTGATTTTTGCGTTTTATGGAATGACGTTAATAAAAACTAACTTTTACATTATACGATATGAAAATTATAATGCTGGGTACACATTTTTAAAATGCTTTGTAGTTTTTTTATATTCAGAATCATATCAATACTTAGTATGTGTTCATTGGATGGGCGAAAAAACTCTCGATCTCAATCTTCGAAAAGTCTTCCATCAATAATTTTACAGCAATTGGACTAGGTTCTGTATAGAGAGAGTTTATATCTATCGTAGTGAATATTAGTTAGGTATTCTTGAAAATAGACCGATGATACTTTCAGTTCGCCCCAATTACATACCTTAATATTCAAGAGTGAAAACCTTATTGAAACTCTTTGCATTTTTTAGGAATTAAAAGCGTTTAAAGTTCATGGACTGACAGAAGTAGAGAGTGACTTTAATTAATATTTTGCAGTGATGCAACGTTAATATCACTTACTTGAGTAGGCAGAGTAGATGACGGCAATATGCTGGATGTTCCTCTCGACTACTTGAGGCGAGTATAGAGCGCCAACAATCAATCCAATTGCAATCACTGCGATCACCTACAAACGTACACAATAATTAATAAGAGCTTAATGATACTCCTTACGCTAAGTGGAGGGAAAAAATAACATAAAATGGGTCAACTGAAACTTTTTTGTATGGACAAGTATCGTTTCAGGATCGTGACAAACTACACATTCCTAATAGGGATGATGACTAATTTTTGTTCGTTTGTCCGTCAGGTAGAGTGTTAAAAAATATTAAACACGTATTTTTTATTTTTTTTCGTAATCATAAAATTACGGCGTTACATTGAGTTGAAATTTCGCATGACGTCACGTTAGGGTACGTTTTCTACTCAACTGTGACGTAGCGAGCCCCCACTCCTCAAATTTAATGCCTGTTATCTAAGCTATTTCTTGTTAAATTGAAGTAAAAAAAAATACGTATCTAATATTTTTCTATTATCTGACTGACGGACTAAATAGAATTGCATTTTTTTACCCAGTCATCATCCCTATTGAATACTAGATCTGATAGTTTTAAATGAATTAGTTGCGATGATCGTTAATATACAACTAGCTTGCCGGCAGCGGTTTCGCCCGCTTGCTCCTGTAATATACCTACACGCGAACCTGCCTCTTGAATCACTGGAATATTAATGAAACTTGCGAAGTTTATTTTATTTTTTTATATTCATAATGGGCTCGCTCTTGGCCTCAATCTAGCTCAAGGACGCAAATGAGATCTAAAAGATGTCAGCGTACAGACAGTTGGAAGTTACTTCGTTTTATAATATGTATATAGAATTCTAAATATGTACTTATTAGTAATACGTAAAATATAAAATATAGTTTTACAAAATTCAGCTAGTTTCCCGCTTTAACAAAAAAAAAAATTTGAATTCAACTGTACAAAAGATTAAATTTAGCGAGTCTATAAAAAAGGGGTAACAACTTTAAAACTGTGAACAGCCAATTTCGGGTTATCCAAAACTATCTCTATACTTCTATGTTTAAAAATTAAAGTTCTAAATCGGTTGCTTTAATTTCTAGTTGAATGTGTTTGTGTGACATACCACGATAACCAATGCAAATATACTTCATATTCAAAGGAAAACATTAAACAGCTTTCTAAAATTTAAAAATCAACAAATAGACAAAGGTCACGTGCGGCGGCAAAAAATTAAAATAAAAGACAATTTTTGTCTTGTCCGTAGCTCTGATAGTGAAAGCTGTTGTCGCCGCCATTTTGTTTTCTCTTGTTTTGATATTTACGGGCACCGCAAGCATTTTCTTAAACTCACTGTAACTTTTTCTTTTCACTTTCTTGTGTGGTTTTGATTTGTTTTACTCATTGGTTTTACTGTGGTTAAACAAATCTCTGGCGTTATAAATTTTATGTTATCGCGTAAAAGCTCTGTTGCTTTTATCGACGCTGTAAAAGGCGTGCTAGTTTATGTGTCGGAATTAATTTGTACTTGTTGGTAATTTTTATAGGCGATAATGCTTTGAGAAAGACGTCTGAAATAATTTCAATATTACTTAAAACACCTTTGACCATTGATCCTAGTATCTTGTAATAGAATTAGGATACTACAAATTTAATAAATAAAACAATCTTTCAAGCACGTGCAATATGCAAGTATAATAGCATAAAGACCGCAGAATAGATGGGTGGACTATGTGAAAGATAGTGAAATTTACTACGTATGAGTAATAATGATATATAACGCTAATGCTGAAATAACTTAAATGATATTTGGCAGTTCATAGAGGCATTATCACTATATTTTATACCAAGTGTCATTAAAGTAAGCTAAATGTAAAGACATAATATGTAAATACATAAGTAATGCGCTGTAGGTATGCTACACTTACGTAACAAAGAAGAGTCAAGGACGAAAATTACAAATTGCAAACAATTATCATATAGGTATCACGGCCGTCGGCACACCTCGCAGTTCCCATGAATGACAATGTCGCGATTCGCGTTATTGTCTCATAAATCAATATGCACATGTGTATATTTTCAATGACGTACTCATATTATAAATGCGAAAGTTTGTAAGAATGCCTGATGGCTTGTTACTCTTTCACGCAAAAACTACTGAAAGGATTTTTGATATTTGGCTAAGCCTGAATTAACATATAGGCTATGAAGCGGTAAGCTAAGTGCAAATGAAACGCTTTATGAAAATGAACGATTGTGTGCTTGTAACAAGCACGAAATGTAATCGTTCATTTTTATAGAAATATGCAGAGATTATAGACTCGGTATAGATATTTTAATATGTTTTGTAAAGGATATATATTGGTCCAGCGATTCTAACTCTGTTGCTTCCTCTAACTCGCATATTAACTGAACTTTTATTTTCTGTCATTTGTCACAGTACCTATTGTAAACGGCGTATTACTAACCAGCAATTTTTTAACGTAACGTAACATCGACGTAAAATAAAATGGAATTCGTTAGGAAAGTTACACTCACCAATTCTACAGCTCTGAGTCCAAGGCACCAGTACTGTTTAAGTGCGGCTGCAGCCCTGGAATCCCTCTCGGGTGCTGCGCCCTCCTCCCCCTTCTTGGCTTGCGCCTCCGTTTCCCTGTCGCCAGCCGACATGGCCCACACCACTCGCGCTCCGCCCCCGAACTCGACCTAAATAAAGATATGTTTTTACTTGATCAATTTTGCATAAATTGACATAATGCAATGCTTAAGTATAAAAACAGCGTGGATTGCCTGAACATTTATGAAAATACGCACATACACTTGCACAAAGTTCCTTTAATTATATATATATTTTTGTGCTTAGTAGTAGAGAAAGTAATAATTACTGCTTGAGAAAATCGTCAGTCCTGTTAGGTTTCGGGTAGCTCAATGTTTAGAGCAGTCGACCAGAATGCGAAAGGTTTCCATCACAGGGTAACTAGGATTAGTGAAGTTCAATCAAATTTCAATAATGAAGGTTGAAATAAATTTGGTGTTTATGTACAACCTGACAGGCTGTAGACTGTTGGTATTTTATTCAGTATCAGGAAAATTCAAAAATGTAATACTAGATTCATGATTTTACTTCGCTCGCGTCGCTTTTCAGTAGTGATACCTTTTTTGCTATTTGTTAAAATTTTAAGTTATACAACCAATACATTATAACATTAGTTAATATTTTTACAATGGAAATAAATAAATAATTTGTTTATTATATTATACAGATTAATTCTGCGTTAGATTGAGTACGAAATGTTATGGAATCTAGTTCATTTTGTTCAAAAGATTAGAACCGTAGTTCTTATCTTTTGAACTAAGTGATTCAAACATTAAAGTTTGACGGTAAGTTTTTGTTTAAGCCTTATTTTATTTTAAGAACCAGTTGCTGTTTACTTCAGTGTTTTAATTTTATAATGAAGCAAGGTTTCTATAAAATTAACTGATAGCGAATTAAAGGAAGATGTGATGCTGGCAGTAAAGCATTTTTAAAGCAAACAAGCTGTATTAAAATTTAGACTCATATATTCTAAATTCAAAATCATAATTAGAAAAAGGAACTATACCACAGATCATGTAAGAACACAGAGTGGACAAAAATGTTAATATCGCGTGTAAACACTTCTAGAAACGTGAATTGTACGCGGCTACATAAATAAATCATAAGGCTGCATGCCGATCGGTGGAACGGAACGCACGCACTCCACTTTCGAATCACGTTTGCTCTTTCAGTTTTTCACGTATGTTGCTAATTTATTAAAGAAACTATTGAGTCCAAATATAACTTGACTATTCTTAACTATTGTTTTTGAAATAACATATATTTAAATAGTATTTTGTACAACTTTTAATTTGGGTAGAAAACTAAGATTGTAGCGCAAGTTTTTTCAACGGTAAGCGTTCTTAGGCGGCGTTACCGGATGAATAATACAGCCTTAAATTAATTTAATAGGATTTATATTCATATTGAATGATAAATATGAAAATTATTGAAAAAAATTATCAATGAGTAAAAAAAGCTTCTTTAAAGGCCATTTATATCCACGGAAATTCTCCACTCCATAGTAGGGCACAGCTAGGTTTCACTGGTGAGAAATTAATGTTAATGTTTTAAATATACATTTATGTGATTTTGAATAGATATATTCGAATTAATTGTAAGGAAGGACCAATTTATCGAGTAAGCTCATTCGGAGCTTATTAAAAAAATTGTTGTAGATACATCTGATTAAGTAGGTAATACTATATGGATATGATAAATTATGTATTTATTACCCAATAAAAGCTTATACTTCTATCATTAAAAATATATAGAAATGTGTATATTAAATGCATAAGACCTGATTAATGACAACTTTAACATTTTGAAAATGAAAACGAAATTTCTACAGTTGTATATTTTCTTAGTAATAAAAAAACATATACTTGAATTGAGAAATTCTTTGGAGTAATTTACTTCAGTTTTAATTAAAAAATGCAGCAGATGTTCTTAATATTAACAGTCAACTTATTCATCAGTAGCATAGATTTTTGAAAACGTTTTTCAATCTGTATATCTTTGAAAGACTTCTTGGAATTATAATAATTTAAACTAATGACAATAAAATATATTGAGTTATTATTTTATGGGATAGTTTTGGTTTAATTTTATTCACGGCCATTTTTTTGCTCTATACTTTTGACTCTATCATAGTAGGTAAGATCGTCTTATTTATTCCTTTGTTATACAACTTTTATGTTTTTATCGTTGTGTGTCATTAAATTAATCCTCCTACACGCCATTGTTACAAATACTATAAAAAGTGCAATAATAATATTTATCAATAAGTATGCGGTGACGATTCATTATTCGAACCTTAACGAAAAGAAATAATTAATAAATGGACTCATTCAATAAATCGAGTTCTAATTTAGGTGTTAACTATTACATTGATGAAATTTATCGGTGGACGATATGAATAAACAAACAACTTGTGTAACAATTCAAAATGTCACAAACATAGCAATTATATTTACGTTTTTTCAAATTAATCATTATATTTACTGTATTTTCCACATACTTGTCTATGATTTACCATATTTCTATAAATAAAAGGAAATAGTTTTATTATTTATAAACCATTAAAACTTATCCTTCTGTTTAATTAATTTAATATTATTCAAAACTTAATCTCACCAAAGACAACTGATTGGAACTCCTTTAAGTAGTTTAAAAAAGCACACAAGTCTCACTGTTTATTGTTCGACGTTCAAAATCACCCACTTCGATATTTGAACGCGTGTGGCGGCAAAGCTCGCAGACGGGTGCGTTCAGTGCGCGGCGCAAAGCAACTGTCCCTCTAGTATCGTCCCACTGACGACGATGGCTCCTACTCGGAAAACTCATCCAAAGGCAAGAATCTCTGTATAGGAAGTTGTCTGAGCTGACGTGGTTACCTAAACCCATGAGTTCATTGTGTTTTTGAAACTGATAAAGGACCTTTGACGGATGTTGATTCATAATTACGCTAGTGTGTACTATTCGTATCGCCTTCGTAAGGAAATACGTAGTTATTTGGGGTTGCAATAAACATCATTGCTAATCCAGTGCGTCATTTTAAATGGAATTAATTATTAAAATTATAAATATTAATATTTAGATTCAGTTTATTTATTATAATCAATATATATTAAGCAAAATCATATTTGCCATTGTAAAGATATAACAGTTCTTCGGCTTGTAGAGAAAGAAATATATCTACAGTTTTGTACTGCGTAATAAACTGATAAAAGATCCTATGAACAAATGCATCTGTCTTGGAAGAATTAACTGTAAACACCCGACTATCTTCTATTTGCCCGCCAAGAGTGCTTGATTTCTTTGACCACATAGCTAGAAAAGAAGATAGCAACCTGGGGCAACACAAGATTACCAGAAAGGTTGACGGCAGAAGACCAAGAGGAGCCCAATCAGGTGGACTGACTAGACCCGAACAATCTTAGACACTAATCTGCATGTTGCTGTACATTCGACCAAGGAAAGAAACAAGATGAGCAATTGTCCGGAGAAGACCACAAATAGGAAATCACAGTTTTTAAGAAACAATTGATTTCTGTAATAAATAAGAATATTTGTATTATTTGGTGTTTACAACATTATTATAAAGCAGATTAAAACGCGTTAAAACTTTATCTATAGTATTGAATTTTGCTACTTGGGTAGCGTAGTAATCTCAAAATTATATATTATATACCATGCTTATAATATCACTTTTTACTCTCAAAAGCACAAATTTTCAAGAAATCCATATTTTCTTACGTATCCATACTTACATTTGTGTTACAAAAGTTCAACTCTAACTTCGTATTTTTAGAGTACGTTAGTTAGTACCTATTAACAAACGGAAGGATAGATGTGATGATATAAGGGGCTCCATTTATTCCTTTTATGGCACAAAACTTTAGAAAATGTGACTGTTAAAAAAAGTTATTTTCCCATATGTACACTATAAAGAATATTTAGTTAATTTTCCGAAAGTACACTAATTTAAATAATTATCTCATAAATGATCTTAAGGAGATAATTATATTTATTATCTCATTAACACAAAAAGGAATCCTTTTAATTTCATATTTTTCTTAAATCATATTAATGTTAAAATATGAAAGTTCCTTTGTTTAGATACTTGGTTGTTTTTCCGTTAATCACGCCGAAACTACTGAACAGATTTTGATGAAATTTGGTATACAGATAGGGTATTAACTGACTTAGAAAATAGGATACTTTTTATCCCACTAAACGTTTCCTTAGGCCACGCGGGCGAAGCCGCTGGCGAAAGCTAGTTTAAAATAAATGTAACTCAATAATTATTTCAAGCGTACAAAAGATACGATAGCTGCTTTTTTGTTTATTAATTTACTCAATAAACACCATTAATTATACCTACACACGGTTTATATTACTTTAGTTCCCAAACAGTTGACACGCGTTGCTCTGGCTTCAATCTCCATACTCCACTGGGAATTGCGAAATATTCAATTTAAGAACGATAGATCTACTTGTTTGTCTATGCGCCTGCTTTGTATCATATTTTACGATACTTCTATTCTAGGGCTAATAGACAATATGAAGCGAAGGGACTCAAGATTCGACCAATCAAAAAAAAATGCCAATTGAAATCATTCGTTAAAAATAAAATAGATTCAAACTAAAAGCTGTCTGTTGAGTTTCATTTGAAAGTGATAGTAAATCAAAAATAAATTACTTTCAAAAATGCTGAACTTAATCTAATTATAAAAGGAGGACTGACCTCAGTACCCTCTTTAAACCATTATCTGACTAAAGTAAGTCAACTCGTCTCAATTTGACGTTTTCTTTTGTGTCATTGTTAATTTGCTTTAGGCGGTGTATAGTTTTTTTAAATCAAGCACTAACTTTATTCCCTGTTTTATAATAAGTTTAGATATATTTGTCTTTACTTTTACAATTCTTGAATAAAACGCATTAAGTTAGTAAAAGTTATGTGTCCTAATCCCTACTTAAGCATCTAACAGCCAGTTGCACAAACTACCATTAATGTTTTCATTAGTTTAAAGCGACATTACCCATACAAATTTGACATTCATTAGAGCTTAAAGGCGTCATTAAACCTTAATGGATGTTCGTGCAACTGACGGTTAGACAATGATATTTAATTACTCTTTCAAAACATGATAATGATGAAATTAATAAATCACATAGTGTATGTACTTAATCTATGAAACTAGTGCGGGATATTACCTTAACAAGTAATCGGATGAATCAATGTATAAACTTTGAAAACATACTTTTGAAATAATTAAAACCAAAATTGAAAAACCCGCCAAGACCGATTATGATTTGAGCGCGAATTCCCCACAGACTTTAATATTTAAATTCCATAGACTTTACTTAGGTTGAATGAAAGTGACTCTTCATTAGCTTCAAATATTTAGACTCATTAATTTCGGTAATACTTTAATTAATTTCGCGTCGTCTATTTTCTTAAATAACTTCAAAGTTTTTATCTTAAAATTATTATATTTGAGATTTACACTCCTTAAAAACACTCCCCAGAGAAATCATCAGCTTACATTACACGACTTTTATATCTACAATTCAGATGTGTGTAACAGACAAAGAAAATTATCCAGCAATTTTCGGAAATTATTAAATATTGAATTTAAAGTAAATAAACAAATTCGTTTTAGCTTGTGAATGGAAAATATCAGAAGAATATTACAAATGCAATAAATTACTAGCATAATTGCAATAATTTTTAATATTAGCTATGCATAATGTTTATAATATCATGAGGCAATAATATAAAACATGATATTATTAAATAATAATGTAAGTAATATTAACAATAGCATGTATCTAATACAGAAAATCTGCTATAATTATAATCTAAAAATTACTAATAAATGAAGAGTAAAGTGGCAAAGTAGGAAACTTTATTAACTACTTTTTTAAATAAAAAAAGAAAAGAATAATTATTTTTTTAATCTAAAAAATTCTTTAATCTCTGACACCGGTGATTGTTGCGATGTTATCTGTGGCAATAGCGTGTGAATTTCGGGCACATGGGAAATGCCGTTGACAGCTCACTTCCATTACGATTACCGTCATTATAGAACCATTAAAAGAGCGAGTACTTTACTTTCTCTGCTGACACTATTTCGAGCAAAATCTTAATCTATCATTGTATTTCAATGCGATGTTACATTTCACGAGTATAAAGGTCTATATTTTAGACTTTTTTAGTTTCGTTTTTACATTTAAGATTCCACACTTCCAAAGTAAATACAGAGCCCATGAAAGATCACTCGTTTGTCTGTCTGTCTGTCACACTTAAAACACTTATCTGACCCCACTAAAAGTTATTCTGTCTTGTTATGAAACGAAAACTGAAGTTAGTACTAGTTTTAAACCATTGGCTGTCTAAAGCAAATTGATAATAACAGAACTGATTTTTGTCGGATGGTTGATTTAAACCTGGTACTAAAATTATTGTTCGTTTTACATTATATTTATGTAAGTTGGTCACTCAAAGACTGTTGTCAATATGACTTTTAAGCATGGAGGAGTAAATTAGAAATTTTTCATCAAGCGCAAAGCTTTTGCATATAAGTAACATAAAACATTTATACGGTACCTGCGCGAACGTTCAACTGTCTTGGCCGATTTTTATTTACATACAAGTAAATGTATCTTCTTTGATTTTGACTTATTTTGTTACTCAAGCAGACCAATAATAGACTTCTGTTGCCAATGTGAAATAAGTATTATTTCTTTACCAAATAGTTTTTAAGCAATCGCTTTTAGATTAGTTATCGATGAACTGTAATCGTAAACGGAATTGTGTTTTTACATCAGCTACTTTCGATTTTCAAACTGACTGTTAGAAAAAAAAAACTAAGTGCAGATTATACAGGCTGACAATTTACTATACAAAATATAATAAATTATTATTACTATATAAGTTTCCCGTTATAGCTTATTATTATATTATTTTCTGTCAATCATGCGTAAAGGACGATCGTAAAATACAAAAGCTTTTTTGCTGTTCATGTTATAAAACCCTGGGTGGTGACATTATCGTCACTTCAAGGTTTAGTATATACAAATTAGAATGGCACTTGACTGTTTAGTATTGTTTTGTAGAGTTATTCGTATTACATAATTCATAAGGTACCTGCGGCAATTAAGGCCCGCGCTGTATAAGGACCACCTTTGAAATTTCGCGCTAATTCTATTCCTATTCAAACTTTGCTCACACAATCATAGCAACCAACAACGCAGGTTCTATAACAGCCTGACCCGAGACAATATAGAATAGTTAATTGTGTACATTGACACGATCGGTAATAACCCGGGATCTCAGAGATGGCGACACGTCGCAACCCGCGAACCACTTTAGTTAGTTACTAGAGGTTTACTAACTAACTCTTCTTTCGGTTATTTTTATTATATTATGAGCTTCTACAAAGTTATATGAGATTAGGCGTAGTACTTACATAGCAGAAACGTCTCTTGATATTGATGCTACGATTATATTTCAGAAATTAAAAATCTTAAAAATAGCGTCTTATGATTTATCTGATCTGCGTAGAGCAACAAGTATTAATTTATTTATTTTTATTAATGTTCGCTCAACAGTATTAGTTTGTTAAAGAATTAAATTTTTACCACGAATACGTATAGGAACCACCTAACGAAATTAAGCAAAGTCTAAAGTTATGATATTCGTTATGCAGCGCTCTGCGCTAGGCATTTGCATATATAACAAGTCTTAAATATGTCAAGGGACAAAAGAAAAATATTTATTTGAAATTAAACTAATCTGCTAAGGCGGTTCGTAATATTAGGCGTTTCCTAGTTAAGTTATGACTTGTTCTAGGTTAGTGAAAATGGGTGTAAGTCTTTAATAGAATAAAAGCTTTGGA